GAGGGAAGAAATGGATCATTCCATGGACGCCATCGAAAAAGGGGATAATAAGGGGTAACAATACAGAATAAATGACCAGCCCGTTTTTTTATAACACCATCAATATGCAACCTCGCATCTTCTCTGGATCTGGACATCTCACGCCGGTGATGGAGAAAGAAGAAGAAGAAACAATCCCACCAGAGCCAGATGATACACTCATATGATACACATCCCACGATGAGGGGATGATTTAGCTAGAGTTGGACTTTTTTTTTTCGTCATCCTCGTCAGTCTTTCTTGCCTGACTTGTCGTCCTTGGACCTGTCCGTGGCGCTGCCCGACTCTCCCTCCCCGTTCTGGTGGGCAGGGTGGTTGGTGAGGCTATGCCAGATGGACTTGAGGAAGCCTTCGTTCCTGTGAGACTCAGGATCGGAGGAAGGTGCTCTGAACAGGTCACAGTGTTAGAGGAGCTCGATTGGCTTGATGATCTGGGCTCGAGTGGGTGGTATAGCGCTCACTGGTTGGAAGACGGCGACGACACGTTCATGACCCGCTTGGCTTTCTTGTCGCCCATCTCATCGGCCAGCATCTCCATGAGAGTCCTCTGGTTGGCGCTGAGGTACTTGGGCATGTTGACGCGGAACTCGACGTGGAGGTCGCCGGCGCCACCCCTGCGGGAGCCCAGTCGGTTCATGCCCATGCCCGACAGCGTGATCTTGTCGCCCGTGTTGGTACCCGTGGCGACCTTGACGTTGACGGCGCCGTCGAGAGTAGGCACCTCGATCTGGCCACCGAGGATGGCCGTCGTGAGGGGCAGCGAAGCCGTGTAGAGGATGTTGGAGCCTTCGCGGCGGAAGTTGGGGTCCTTGGCCACGCGGACGAAGACGTACAGGTCGCCGCGCTGGCTGCGGGCGTTGGGGTCGGCCGACTTGCCCGTGGGAGGGGCGTCACCGGCGCCGTCGACGCGGAGCCTCATGCCGTCCTCGATACCCGCGGGGATGTCGATGGTGATGGTCTTGCGCTCGCGCACCACGCCGTCTCCGTGGCACGACTTGCACTCGCCGCCCTTGGGGATGGTGGTTCCGGTGCCCTCGCACGAGCCACAGGTCGACGCCATCTGGAAGCCGCCCTGCATGAAGTGGACGCGTGTGCCGGTGCCGTTGCAGGACCCGCACGACGACCTCTGCGTGCCGGCCTTGAGGCCGTTGCCGCCGCACGTGCCGCAGGGAACCTGGGGCGTCAGGCTGATGGTCTTGCTCGTGCCCTTGGCCGCCTCCATGAAGCTGATGCTGGCCTGGACCTCGACATTGTCACCGACCAGGATCTCCTGCTGGAAGGGGTTCGACCGTCCACCCCGACGTCCGCCGGCGCCGCCAAACGGTCCGCCCTGCTGGCCGGCAAAGGCCGAGAAGATGTCGTCAAAGTTGAAACCTCCGCCGAAGCCGCCCTGTGCGCCGCCGAAGCCGTGGAAGGGGTTGCCGCCGCCGCCGAATCCGCCGCCGAATCCGCCGCCACCGGTGGGGTTGCCACTGGGGTCGAATCCGGCAGCACCAAACTGGTCGTACTGCTCTTTCTTTTTAGGGTCGGAGAGGATCTCGTAGGCGGACTGGATCTCGGCAAACTTGTCCTTGGCAGAAGGGTCCTTGTTCGTGTCGGGGTGGTACTTCTTGGCGAGGCCGTAGTATGCCTTTTTGATGTCGGAGGCCGAGGCGCTCTTCGCCACACCGAGGGTCCCGTACGGGTCCTTCTGAAGCAGCGAGCTGGTGGCGTGGAAGGGCTGGCGAGACAGGGCGAAGTTGTTAGCCGTTTACCGCAAACAAAGGTGACGCCAGGATGCGTCCTTGGGGAAGAGGAAGAAGATGGGCCTACCCGTATCAAGGGCGGCGACTTTGCACCGGACCTCTGGACAGAGGGACGCTTGCTCGAAGCGGCACCACGAGTGGCAGTGGCCGTGTGGAACGCTGCACCGTTCATCTTGGATTGCCGGCACAGGGGCCGGTGACGAGCAGCAAAGGCTCGGGCGGGACCCGAAGCCTTGGTGAGAAGGCCAGAGTTCATGCTGTGAAGTATGATCAAAACAGAATCATTTGAGAGAAGAGAGGGGAGAGAGAGAGCAGAGAGTAAACAGAGAAAGAATGGAAGAGGCGGAAGGGGGGCGGGGGGGGAGGGGGGGGTAGAGGAGGTGGTGTGATGGGAGTAAAAGAAAGAAAGGAAGCTATCGAGGAGTCAAAAAAACGACGACGGTGCTCGAAGTTACCAGCCGAACGACGGAGGTGCAGTTCTGGAACCAGTCGCGATTACTGCAAATAAATTCTTTGCGCTTCGATAGGTACGTTTGGACCATTCGATTAATCTGGTTAGTAAAACTTCCATGACCCACTTAATCCTCGTTGTCTTTGCCGCTCATATATGTACGGATATATACTCGTAATCTGTATAAGTACGGAGTAATCTGTATTACAGAGAGTACTTAGTGTCAGTACTCCGTAGTCGTATGCCTAAGGCTACAATGCCGTCATACCGTTAGAAGCCGAAATAGTCGTGGGAGTACTCTTCTCCTCCTTCCCATACGGTCGACCCCTTTACCCGACTGAGTGTGTGTATATACCGTACTATTTTAATCGATAGTAATACTATGAAAGATTTCATCAACTGCCTACTATTTCCTTTCCATGTGCGGGACATTGACCGAAGATGTTCCCTCTGCGTGTACATCTCGGAAGCCTCCGCGCACAGAAAAAATAAAAATCGGCATGGATTGATGGACCCCGAGAGAGAGGGAGAGAAGAAAAGGAAATGAATAGATCTATCAAAAAAAGCCGTACGAATAACCCAAAGAAACAATCCCGGCACTCCCAAAAATCGACCCATGCCGTATGTGTATACCACTATAACGCCCGGATGACCAATCAATCCGTGGAGAGGGCAGAAGAAGAGTCAAAAGCCACGCCTCCCCCTTTTCCCCGATGCCCCGAACGCCTAGAAGATGCAATGAGAAGCAAGTATGCATGAGAAAGAGACTGTGGTCGAGAGATGCGGCAGAAGGCTGCTGGATCATTCGGACGCAATGCCAGATAGCTTTTGGGGGCCTCTCCTCTTGGCCAAATCGTCGCTGCGCAGCTTGTAGATCAGGTCGACAATGACATCGTTCTCCTGGATGCCCAACCCATTAAAGTGTTTGCGGACAGATTGCGTGAGCTGCTCCTTACTCTGCCGCTGCTTCTTGCGACGAAGCATGGTGGGAGAGTAGGCGCCGATGCCCGCCGGCTGGGCCAGGATGGTCTGGTGGTATGTGCTGGTGAAGCAGCTCGGGTAGTTGAGCTTGTGTTCGCGCGTGTACGAGTGGAGCATGGCGCGATCGAACGTGTTCCATTGAAGCTGCTCGGAAAGGGTCAGTATTGACCAGTGACCAGGAGAAGTGCAGAGAAGAGAGAGAAGAAGGAAGCGTACCCCAGGTGTTGGCTGCGTCGTGGCCGGGCGTGCAGCCGCTGCAGCTGCAGCGCTCGTCGCCGACGCGTTGGTCACCTCACGCAGATTGGAGCTCTGCTGGCTAGCCCCGCGGCGCATCTTGGCAGACGTTTGGCCGGTAGCCCTCTCCTTTGCTGTCTCGGCCTTGCCGTCATCGTGGTTGCGGGAAGATTTGGCTGGCGCCATGGCTGTTTTTGTGGGCGCCCGGTCGGGAAAAACTCTCGAGCAGAAGGGTAGCGCAGGAGGTAGAGGAGGGAGAGGAAAAAAGCTGAGTGGGGTGGGGGGGGGGACTAGAGTTCGGGTACTGCTAGCTGTATAATGCTGGTGGTGAAAAAGACTGGATGACAATTGTATCACGTCGTGGCCAAGAGAGATTGTATGGTAGAAGAAGAGTGTTCATGGTGTGTGCTGCTGAAGTGAGGGACCACCGAGACCGGGAGGAGAAGAAGGGGTCTTATCACACTCTCTCTCCTTCTCATCACTCAGCCTTGGCCGAGCGGAAGAGTGGGGGGGCAGAATTCTGGGCGGTGAACGGCGATTGTGGGAAACCACCGATTACTGCGATTACTGTTTGAAGTGTTAGCGCAGAGGACTAGCGCAGCCGCACAGGCACACCCGCTCTCATTGGTCTGGCGGAGACGCTCTAGGGTAATCGTTCCATCAGCGGGAAGCACGCGCCGTCGACGTCACTGCCGAACAGTTGAGCTACCCAAATAGTGGGGTACCTGTTATTATTGTTTACGCGAGGTCGGGGCCCAGAGGCAGACCCGTACAGCATGAACGCCATATTACCCCGTGCCATCCATCTGGTTCCTCCCGAGAGACCTCCGAGATGGCGATACTCCCCTCAACCACACTCCTCACTGCGCCTCCTCTGTGCTGTTGACAGCCTCCAGGCTTCCAAGATCAAAATCGAAAAAGTCCATCAGGCTATAGTCGAACACCACGTCGCCCAGTCCCTCAACCGGTCCCAGGTCGGTCACAGCCACAGCCATGGACGTGATGGGCGGTGCATCCTGGAGCACGTCCAGGTCGTAGCACATGCCGCGAGGGAACGGGAATAATTCTCGATGCCCCACGGCAGGATCCCTACCACGCAAAGGTCCCGTGGGTCCTGACAGATGGGCATCGCCATTCATGGCCTCTACCCTCCTAAGCAGCCAATTCATCTTCTCCAGAATCACATGGGCGTCTCCGTAGCCGTCGCGCATCGTCGACACCACCGACCGCAGCACCTCGATCTTTTCGGAATGCCGGTGGCGCTCTTCCGTGCCGGGACCGTCGCAGATGAGTGGCAGTGTGGCCGTGAGAGAGAAGAAGCCGTGCATTGGCAGCAGCCCCACCGTGTCGTCACGGCAGCCCATCTCGTCGTACAGCATCACGATACACGACGCGGCCACCGACGCGTACACGGATAAGGTGGGTGGGTGCCGCCGCATGCGCTCGCCCACGGGATGTCTCGGCATCAGGCTCAGGATGACGGCGACAAAGTACAGGATGAAAAGCTCGGATGCGGGGCGGTAGTACGGCCTGCGACGGCCGTCGGGTCCGTATATCTGCAGCTCAGCCGGTACGTCGGCGATCCAGTCGGCAAGGGCCGCATCGATGCTGGCCATTGCGGGAGCGCTCTCGGTCGACGCCATCTCGGCCATCCGGGCAAGTATCACGCACAACTTTGACTTTTCGACAAAGACGAGGGCCTGCGGTGACAGGGTTTCAAAGTCATTCCTCTCAAGTGGTTCGACATCATGATCCCTCCTTCGCAGGAGAGGCGGCCGGCCCCAGCATGCTGTCTGGAGGACGTCGCAGTTCTGCAGATGATCAGCGTCAGGGCCGTCGCCTGGGACTAGTAGACGACGGGATGCAGATCCGAAACATACATGTAGATACCAAAAGATGCGCTTCAGACACGCCGAATCGAGATGGTCAGCGTACGCCGCGCGCCTATGCAGCCCCATCTGCACCATGAGCCGCACCCCAGCTCCGATCCAGTGCCACGCCCCGTACAGGCTAGCCTGCGCCGTCGGCGCGCCGTCCCAGCATGATACGAGGCACAGGGATTTTAGCAGCTGCACGCGGTTCTGCTCGTAGTCGACGGCCAACAAGAGGCTCAGCTTCTCAACCAGGTCGCCCGCCACCCGCGGTGCCCGGGTGTCGTGCCTCACCATATTCCCCACGAGGCACAGGCCCAGATTGACCGCGACGGATGAACCCTCCGGCGGCAAGTCCCCCGTCTCGACGACGGGGCAGTGGTGAAAGGCCTTGCTCATGAAAGCCTCACTCCAAGCACTCAGGAGACCGGGCCGCGGCAGCGACGAAGGCTTGATCAGCAGCATGACGGCCTGGCGTAGACGCGCTGCAAACGGCCGCGCCAGAGCAGTATCGTAGGATTCGCGAGGCATCGAGGCCACCGTCTCAGAGGGCAGTCCGGCAAAGTAACATTGTCCGCCGAAGCCGTCGTCTGCGGTGGGTGAGTCCGAGCCGGGCGTGGACTGTTGTGGGCGCTCGGCGGGCGACGCATGTTCCCGGTTAGATTGGCGCCTCGAAGACGGCCGTGCCAAGGCGCTGCTCTTCCTCTTCCTGGCGCCAAGTCTCCGGCTTTATCAGGGCACTGGCTTAGCGAGTGCCGTTCAGGGGAGTTGACACGAGGCGAGGATACGGGCTTCGACCTACACACAAGGCTGCCGAAGCCGACGGCAGTTGTGGCATACCCCGTCTGGGCTGTCTTGCAGATCGCACTTTACCTGGACGGGGGTCTCCATCTCAGCAACGGAAGCCTGGACGCAGCGGCAGGACCATCAGGATTGGACGCGATCGTCACGTGTGTTCACCTACCTTTCGCTCGTGGCAATCGGTACAGACGACACCTGCTCGCCGAGGGAGCGGCATGGTGCGGCGAGCGAACGTAGGTGGGATGCGATGTGCACCGATACGGTCTTTGTCGAGCTCGAAGTGCCGAGTAACGTTGAGTTCATTCCATCGAGTTTGGTACTCGCCGTGAATAGAGACCAGCATGGGCAAAAGTTGACGATATGCAGGTGGTGGCCATGGCCATGTCAGTATCTGGGGAGATTTCGGTACCCGGTACCCGGCACTCGGCACATGGACGAGAAGGGGAAGGTCGTGTAAGCGACTATCATCATTGATGCATGGGTCCAACTCTTTCGTTTGTTCAATCTTTTCCCCCCCTCTTCTCTTATCAGGACGTGTCGCAGAATCTTGATTTGGAAACAGTAGAGTAGACTATGAAGCAAACCCGAATAACGACATTGCTGGTTGAGCATAGGATGTGAGTTGGTAGACGGCATCTACACCCATGGTGCTTCTCTACTGAAGGTATCATTAGTTAGCATTCCATGAACAATCTGGTGTACACATGTATCTCCCATCATACGTAACTGCCTCTCTCTTACGATAATCACGGAGTCCGAAGGGAGGGGAGAAAAAAAAAAGAAAAGATATTCTGAGAGACGAGAAGTAAAAAGCAAAGAAAACTGTGGTGGTGCCTTCATCCTAGCTGCACTCGTCTACAGCGACGCTACACGCACATCCAACCCACGTCCCATCCAGTATACATAACTACGTACGACTACTTCTACTGGATGCCATCCTACCTAATCTCCGTCGCAGCCTCCAGGTCACGCAAGAACCGCCACATGGTCACCTCCTTCCAGCCCTTGGACTTCCAGTCATTCATCGTCTGGGGGAACAGATCTACCACGCCCTCGACCGTCATATCGTGCGCGGCAATGTAGAAGACATTCTCCTGCGCGTCAGCCCACTGAGCTGAGCGGATAGATCCGGCAGCCGCGTCGAGGTCATCCGCCAGAACGGCATCGAAGAACGGCTCGTCTCCCCCGCGGCCACGCCGGACGTTGATCTGTCGGAAGCAGCACCCTCGCGGACGGGCTGCTCCCTGCTCGTCGTCGTCGAGACCGTAGTCGACCGTGTCGGGAATGGGGAGGCTGGCCGAGGGCCGCATCTCACCGGCGTGGTGGGTCGTGTCGGCCCCCATGAGGATGAAGGTGTCCGGGCCGCAGCCGGTGGTGGTGGTGGTGCGTACCAGGCCGGCCATGTGGCCTGTGCTGTGACCTGGTGCGTCGATGAGGTAAAAGGATCCGTCGCCGAAGAAGTCGTGGGCGCGGACGGGGCCGATGAGCAGAGCATCGGTGTCGAAGCTGATCTCTCGCACGTGCCGGTCCCTGCGAAGGAGGGACAGCATTAGGACCGAGGCAGAGACGAATGCCAGTCTGGTCTTGTCCTACCTGAAATAGCTCTCTTGGATATGAGAATCCGGATACCGGGGATAGCCAGGATGAAAGGCCTTCATGAAGCCGGGACCGACAACGAGCTCCGTCGTGCCCGGGAATTCTGTCACGTCACCGACGTGGTCCCAGTGCCAATGGCTGAGATGAGCATGAGTACTGTTGTTCACGAATTCTTGACCAGGTGAGAAGGCGTACCTCCATATAGCAGAGTCAATGTCGCCGAGGCTGATGCCATGCTGCTCGATGACATCGCCCACCGTCCTCTCGGACTCGAGTCTCGCCCCGGCACCCTCGAGCTGCGCCTTGACAGAGGGCGGACAAGTCTCCGGGCCAGACGGCATTCCGAGATCAAACAGGGCCTTCTTGCCCGTGGAACTCTCGATGAGGAACGACCACGTCGCGAGCGGTGGCATCACCTCCAGACCGTTAACCGACGGTTTCAGCAGCCACGATGACCGGAGCATGTGGAGGCGCGATGCCGTGTCTATCATGGAGACTCTGGCGACGGCGCCGGAAGGTGGGTTGAATGACATTGTCGGGAGAGGATTCTCTCTCGTCTTCTCTTCCTGTCCTCCTTCTTCCTTGTCATGAAGAATGTATGCGGATCTGACATCAGAGGGTTACGCATGCTCGTCGACGTCCGTCTATTTATCTTCGTTTCGGCGCTCGGCTGCTATAGAGCTTGGACTTACCGAGCGCCGACGGCGATCAGACGAGATGCGACGCCTCGGTCGTGCCTTTGGACATGGCGATAAAAGAGGGTCCTGCTCTCGATGCAGTGCATGATGCCTCCGCCGGACTTCGGAGAGCAGTAGATGCGGTGTCGTCAAGTGGTGAGGCCATGTCACATGCACCGTCCAAGACACACCTTACACGCCAAGCAACAGGACAGACAGTCTCCAAGGTTGTTGCCACCTCGGAGCTGTGGCTTTACATAGGGCCGACACTGAAGACGAGTATCGATACATGAGAGTAGGGTAGCGAACATGGCAGAATCTGGCTACTTCTGTCTCATCAGGGGGCGTCACATCCGAACCCTTCAGGATATATAAAGATACTGCAAGTGACGCACACATGATCGTTCTGACAGATGATAACCCTGCTAGGTCATATTCAGATACCGTCGAGTAGGACCTCGGTCTCCAACTTGAAAACGGACGATCTATCTCGGCTCATACCCAGTAAAGGATCCCAAGATCTGTGGCCGAGCCAGAAAACGTGGCATCGTCGACCGGACTGAGCCGGGCACTCTGTCAAGTCACTCTTCTCCCCCCGGGAACAATAAGCCGAATTGACGGATGTACGTGTGACTGGAATCCTGAATCCCAGATATCGGATGTTGGGTTCGCGACACGCTGCATGCGATGCCATCCATCCTGCATCTTTTGAGGAGAAAAAGTGACATGGGCTTTTTTTCTGGTACGTCGGAAAATCAAAAAAATGACGATGAGAATGACCGAAAGGAGGGGGCCACCCTCTTCTTCCTTCTCCTTTTTCTCTTTTCCCTTCCCGGTCATGAGCCAGGCAGAGTAAAGAAATGGCCCGACAGCCCGATGCCCCGTCGCATAGCCGGCGGCCGTGTCGGCCACTCCCTCCCCGGCCGCGCATATCGTGTACGCGATTAGTATTGCTAAGATGAATGGAATTGACACGACCGACAAGCTGTCAGCATCAGCAATAGATGTACTTGTACTTGCATCAAGTCCCCCAAGTACATGTATTGGACGGTGATACGATATTTGGCGATACCTGTCAGCTGCCAGGATCGGGATCAGGGTCAGGGCCATATCCTCTGCCATCCATCTCTTGTCCGTCTGTCTCTGCTGTGTCCTCGTCATTATCAATGAGAGGCTGCTCGAATGAGGTTGCCATGTCTTGTCCGGTGACCCCCACCGTTGGTACCGGTAGTATGATAGTCTGTGCCAACTAGATCTCAACCTGTTTCTTTCCCTCACAGACACCCGGAATGTATCTTCCAGATGCTCAGTGCTCACGGAGCAATAGAGACTCGCCACACATGAAAGGGTACAACCGTGCGATAACGCATCGCCGTACCCCAGAAAAAAAGACGGAGTGATCGACAGCAGGGCGCGACGCCCAACTCTCGGCCACTGACGTCTCTTGCTAGGTTCACACCGAGGGCGATGTGTCATGCCATGGGAATCGGTTGATAATTCTTTTACTTCTCCAGTGGTACTGTTGGTACCATGATTCGATATGGATCACGGTTCTTGTTCGTACCACGGCCGTCCACCTATTGAGCATCCCTGTGAGCGGCCTGCACGGCCTGCACAGACCGCGGTCTATTGGGGGCCTGAAACCTTCAGCTGTGAGCGCATCGCCGCATCAACACTGTCTTCGGGGTCGTGCGAGTGTACGCACCTACCAAGAGTAGCCAGGTGGTGATGGCGCCGTAAGCCAAGGCATGCAAGGAGTGGAATTTTTTTTTTCTTTCTTCTAGAAGGCTGCTAGTAGCTATCAGCAGAGCCACAGACGCTGCCAAAAACGTAACCGACACGGAGGAGCAGAGCGCAAGGAGCAGGGAGCACGGACGACAACATAGGAGAGGCTGATTATCATTATCATCAGTATTTATCAGTATTATTATTAATACCGAGTAGCGAGTCACGAGAGAAAGGGTGGATCAGCTGGCAACACATATTACGACGGCGCCTCGTCAACGGCGCTCCCGTGTCCGTCTCCACTGCGGTACCAGCCGATTCCCGCTTCGGCTACCAGCGATGAAAGGAGGCAGAAGATGAGAGCGTTGTCGGACATGGTCCGTACGATACACGATCCATCCAACATGTCTAATCCTTCATCCTGTACACTCGTACGCGACACAATGTACGCGAAGGAGGCAGGAAGTTGAGGCGCGACCAGGACAGCGCCGTTATCGAGAGGCAGCCACCACCGTCATGTCATTGACGATTTTCCTATGACTCGGTCAGGTCCGGTAAGGCGGGACGAGACGAAAACCACGCAGCCAACGAGGGAAAGGTTCCGTCGGGCCTCGGCGACGAGGGGACCTACTCGCAGACTTTGTTGCTGCTGGGTCATCGTCGTCCTCGTCCATCCAACCCACAGGGCTACCACCGTCTATAGGCTATCCCCGGATGAGAGTGAGGGCATTTCTCGACAGTCATGATAGTGCGGCGTCAACCCTTGGCTCATCGCAGTGTGTGCAGGGCTGTTGTTGGTGGTATGAAGTGTGCACTGATACGTATCATCGGTTGTCGAAGTACCAGCAGTTGGCTTGACCGGCAAGCTAGCAAACTAGCCTCTGTGTAATCTGTACTGCTCTGTGTATCAGGCATCTCCACGGGTCTGTCTCACAAGACGCCCGGTTTGCTTGGTCCGCTCCGGGGTGATTTGCAATGGCGTGTGTGTGTGTGGATACTTGCAAGGAGCTGCTGAGCCCGCTAGCATGAGCAGTTGCAGGTGAGAGCTCTCGTACTCGTGCGTCCTTGGAGTCATCGAGAGCGCCAGTGCTGCCGTTGCTACGTCGCACGCAGTAGCAGGAGTACTTGTTCTGTACTGATGGTAGTACTCGCAGTTAAGCCGTATTGATACTAGCAGTGGTACAGCACTGGTACTGCGTAGCTGTCCGGACTGGGTATCCCGACGATGAGGTCTTCCTGCCTTGGGCCGTTGGCTCAAGTTATTTTCTGGCGCAGGAGCGTCTTTTTTTCTTTCCTCCTTTCTGTTCTGTCTAGGGGGGCGTCCGCTCGGATCAACGGCATATTTCGGCTGAGGCGCATGATGTGTTTAGCACCTGCTCCATCGAGGTCAGTTCCTTTTCTTCTTCTTCATCTTTGCCTTTTGTTCTTCTGTTATTTTCCATCTCTCCCTTCCCTGCCTCGTGTGCGGAGAATTTGCAAGTTGATCAGGGAACTGATTGCATCGTGGTACTTTTAGCTGGGGAGGCTGGAAGAACCAGGACAAGAACCCTGCAGATCACCGATCACGCGTGGAATTCTGGCTGCAGACCCCCCTGCAACAATCAGTGGCCACCGGACAACTGAAAAAAAAAAGAGCAGGAAGAGAAACGGTCCCTCAATCTTTGACTTCCAGTGGGACATGATGTAATACAGAAGAGTACTTTTGCAGCCGGGGCAGAGACCATCGTCATGTCAGTGACTTGTTGGCTGTCACATCAACAGAATGCCCCCCCCCCGTACCCGTACAGTAGCGCTGCACGTATCTTTTCCCTCGAGGTCCCACATGCCGCTAACAGTAAAACAGGCACAAGCCGGGGGAGGGAGTAGAAGTGGAGGGATGAGCACGGAGGGCCGATGAAGATTGTCAAAGATTGGAAGGGGGAAAAAAGGAGGAATATTAAGGATGAGAATGTACATGTACAGGCGGACAGGGACCGCACTGGAGTGGGGGCTCTCTCTTTCTTTTCCTTCTCCTCTTCCGCCGTGGGGATGGAACCTTTCCCCTCTTTTTCCGCCCTGAGCGGTACTCGTACCGCTCACCAGTGGAGGGAGGACCAGTTACCACCAGTCATGAGGCTATTATTATCACTGCGTAATACTCAATGCTCGCACCTGCTGTGTACATAGTAATATCAGCCCTCGTAATTCTGCAAGTAAGGATATTATCAAAGCACTCATACTGAAAGTGCCAGAATGGATACATCCACGTGTGTAGAGTAACAGAGAGTATTACCACCTTTACTACCCCAGTAATATAGAGTATTTAATACCAGCAGTACGAATACGGCACCCAGCAGCTCCCCTCAGTGGCGGAATAGGCACCATTCGCACTTTCCGACGCTTGCTGCAGCCTGCTCTTCCCCGCGGCCACTGGCAAACCTGGCCGCACCTGCCTCGTGGTCTCTGGTTGCTCTTGCCCTCTAATAATATTGAAACCAGTACAGTGATTAGTAGCACACTTGTGATAGCATGCCTTGTACATATACTCGTTCTTTCCGTCGGAAGGAACAAGACGACCTCCTCCTTCCTGCTCTCGCTACTTACCAGTTCCCCCTCTCCAAGACTGCCCATGAGACGCTTCCCTCCCCCCCCCCCCCCCCCCCCCCCCCCCCCCCCCCCCCCTAGCCCCCCCCCCCCCCCCCCCCCCCCCCCCTAGTAGAGACCTGTCCGTAGGATTATATTATCGCTTGTTTTAATTATCGGTTATCATTACTCCGTTTTATTACTTCTCGCCTGTTGAGGTTCTCCCCATTGACCCTCGCCCTCCGTACTCTATTTCACCTGGTCTACGACCGAGCCTGTATGCTCGTAATCGCATAAACCTCCTGCCTCTTCCACCACCACCTACCACCTACTACTCCTCGTCTTTCCCACAACCATCCTTTGCGACACAGCAAATCACCCGACTATTGAGGCTACCCCTCCCCCCCTTGGGCGCACAGCTAATGCTGCTACATACTTTGCCATTATATGCGCCTATACATACGGCTAATATACTGCCACGCTCTTTTCTTTCTTTCTTCCTCTCTTTTTTCTTGCGCGCGCGTGAGCTCCCGCTTCGCCCATACAATCACCGACGCGATCTGCACTCTATCGTCACCTGGTGTTCCAATCAACCTTGCTCGGTACCACCACTAGCACTCACTCGCCAGCGACACTCTTCTTCCAGACGCCGCCATCATGCTTGCCACGCCAATATTCAAACATTAATTCTGCACTCGTAGAGATAGAGACGCGTGCCAACGCCGGATCATCGGCCTTGTCGCGGCCCCTCCGTCGCGCCCTCTTTCGTCAACTCAGCGTACGCCATCGCTGAGCATCTCTACGGGAGAACACTCGTTCTCACCGCCGCTGCAGCCCTCCACGCTCGGCACTCTATATAACTGTCGTGCCTCGGTGACCGGCGGTTTTCTCTTGCTCTCGCTTCTCGAGGAGAGCTTGGACAGACGATACCCTGCCGGCTCGCTCGGCTCTACTGGATATGGCCTCGGCCGTAGCTTACCGAAGTCACGATACCCATCCCGCGGCTGTTTTCTCATCATTCACCCCCGCCCCCGCCATGGCCATGCCGATATCCGATCGCGCCCACATGGGGCAAGATCCGAGTCAATCCCCCGAGCCTGGTCGAGAAGAGCTGGACCTTCCCGGTCTTTCTGCCGCGGACGAGCCTAACGACGTCCCATCCAACCTCGACGGGCCTGTTCGCAAGCGTCGCAGGAGTCGCAAGGGTCTCGACAAGCGCTTTGAGTGCCCCGCCGAAGGTTGCGGAAAGAGCTATTCGCGCGCTGAACATCTGTGAGTCGACCGTCGCCCGACATGGTGCTTCTCTACTCGGGAAGACGGGCATTGGTACTGACGAGCCCTCAGGTACCGCCACCAGCTCAATCATAACTCGAAACAGGTCTACCGCTGCGAACACCCTGGCTGTACCAGGACCTTCGTCCGTGGCGATCTCCTCAAGCGACACATGGACCGCCATACAGCCAAAGGCTCCCAGCTAAGCCGACGAGATTCTAGCCTTGGCCAAGCTTCCCCAACCCTAGCCGCTGCCCCGGGATCTACCTCTCCGGAAGCCAAGAGATCTGCTCCCGGACACCAGGTTTCAGAGCATGGCCAGACCAGCACGTCCTACCGGACCCACGATGCTTCTGGGTCGTATACCCAACAACGCTATGCTGTCATCGGTACACAGCATCAGATCTCGTACCGCAACGACGGTGCTCTCAGCGTCAGCAAGGCCCCTGCTATGAACACCTACTCCCAGGAGTCGACGTATGCCACCGGCATGCCCGACGAACATTCGCAATCCCCCGTTGCCCAGGGACCGTCCATAGCCATGGGTAGAACCGACGCCTCCACGTTTTCACCAATACCAAACATTCAGTCTTACCGCAATCACTCCAGTGCAGGTCCGACAGCGGTGAGATTTGTCTCGCAATCCAACGTCATGCCCTTCAACCTGCCACCCTCTCAGTATCAAAATGAGCATAGAATGTCCCACTCGGATGAGCAACAGTCGTCTTACGCGCACACCAGCGGTGACTATGCAGACGCAGCCCAGCAGCAGCAGCAGTCTAATGACATGATGCTGCTCAACCAGATGGCCATGGCCGGTACAGTGCCTGTGTTTGGCACTGATGGGTTTAATAAGTCTCCCTATGCTGGTATGCCTGAGGATTTCCTCTCGTACCTGTTCAACAATGTACCTTCGAACGAGAGATCGCCGATAAGCAGGGACATGATGCGAGTGACACCGACTTATGCCAAGTAAGTACTCCACCTGCGTAGACAGCCGCGAGGCCCTCGTCCGGCCTATCCATTCTTGCGGCAGACATTTCGAGCTGACGAGACGACAATCTTCTAGCTATGGTGACTTGAACAGCAATCAGCTCTCTGCCTCCTTTTCGGGCGCCACTAACCCCTCGGCTGCGGGCTACTTCCCTGTGGCCCCCCACCAGGTCATGGCCGTTAATAACATCTTGGACCAAAACGTCCCAGAAGCTACCATCTCGGATGAGAAGAGCCAGGAAATCTTTGATTTCATCAGCCAGCGATTCCACCAAAACGACAATGCCCCTGCCGAACGCCGCAGGGATAGCATGACCGACGGTGACCGGTCTAGTGAGACGCACATGCTGAGCAAAAGGATGATGCAGGCTTACATCGGCTCCTACTGGTATCACTTCAGTGACCAGATGCCCATTCTGCATAAGCCCACCTTTTCGCCCGACAGAACACCCAATCTGCTACTCATCGCCATGATGACCATCGGCGCTGCCTTGCTGGATAGGACGCACAGCCCCAAGGTGGTCAAGGCGGGTGCCAAGCTGTCCAACTTTCTCGCCTGGCAGCTAAGATGGGAGATCTTCATGGACGAGAACTTCCGTCCACCGGCCAAGCTGTGGGTGTTTCAGACTCTTATACTCCTCGAGCTGTACGAGAAGATGTACTCAACGAGAGAGCTCCACGAGAGGGCGCACATTCACCATGCTACCACGATTCAGCTCATGCGTCGAGGACGAGCCCTGATTGGGAAGTCGGCTGCCGAGTCACCATCAAGCCACGCCGAGAATCTCAACGGTTCTTCGCGGCAGTCGTCAGCCGCGCATCAGACAGCAGACGAGTGGTGGAAGCAGTGGATTGTGTACGAGGCCACTCGGAGGGCGGCCTTTGCCGCCTTTGTCATCGACTCGGTTCATGCTACCATGTTCGGCCATTCAGGCGTCATGGTGGCCCATGAGATGCGGCTACCCCTCCCCTGCGACGAGTCTCTGTGGCAGGGATCGAGCAGCGCCGAGGTCGGACGAATCGAGGCAAATCTGCTGTCGCGGGGCATCAAGCCTATATCTTTCCTCGAGGGCCTCAAGCGCACCCTGAGCAACCAGGAGGTGCACACCAACTTCTTCGGCCGCACCGTCCTCATGGCCGGGCTACTCAGTGTATCGTGGCATATGCACCAACGCGACCTGCAGGTCAACGTGCTGGGCGGCGGTGTGACCAGTTCGCTCGGCGGCAGGGACCGGTGGCGCGCCACGCTCACCCGGGCCTACGACACGTGGAGGGCTGAGGCAGACAAGGCCCTTCTGAGTAGCGACGGGCCCAGCGATCCATATCGCTACGACGCCGCCCGGCGCAACGAGCTGAACGTCATATTTGAGAGCCGCACGGTGCTTCACCACCTCGCTCACATGGCTATGCACGCCGATATTGTGGATCTCCAGGTATTTGCCCGATCCAAGAGACTCCTGGGACGTGCCATTGGACCACAAGAATTCAAGAGCGCCGAGCGCAGGATTCGCGACGGGTGGGCCCCCTCGGCCAGGGCCCGTGACGCAGCCTACTATGCCCTCAAGTTCCTGTGCTCGGTCCTGATACCGGATGCCGTGAAGCAGCCGTCGGGAATGGACATGCCCTTGGGTGGCGCCTCTGCTTACCGCAATCGGGATGAGCCCTACCAGGCAAGGGACGACGTGCTTCTCAACCGCCCATGGGTCCTATACTTTGCCATGCTGGTCGTGTGGTCCTACGGGTTCGCCCTTCAGGGGAAGCCAGCCGATGCCAGGCTTCCGACCAACGACCGTACCAAGGAGAAGCTGATGCGCGACTACCTGATCAAGTTTGGGTCCATCACTGACCCGAGTGAGCTGCAGAGGGCGAAGGGCTTCAATGACAACACCGGTGCCTTGGTATTTCTGAGGGACACTTTTGACGATACGAGATGGGAGCTGCTGCACGAGGGAGCGAGGTTGTTGGACAACTGCATCATATTGAATACGGGAGACGGTTTCTAGCGTTTGTCAGGGCTTCTCCCCACCCCCCCCCCCCCAGATGTGCATCTTCCCTCTTCTTATCGTCTTCCATATACTCTGTGCTTTCTGTTCTCTACATCTCTCTCCTCTCTCTTTTTCTTTCTCTCTTCCTCTCACTGACAACGATGAAATGGTATGTATGGAATATGCAACGAACATGGGCGCAGGAAAGCAGAAACGATGTATGGACTATGGACTGTCTCACTCTATTTTTTTTTCCGTCGGATATTTGGGTTTGATATAGGTTGCCAGGAATACCCCGCAGGCATGTTTTATTTCTTGCCTCCTTTTTTCTTCTTCTGTTTTCGTACAACCTATGGCGGTCTGTGTAGCATCGAGTAGAAGCATTGTTACGAGTACTTATCAGGACCGGAACTTCTGCCGGTAGTCGGTGTACTAACTGACTAACAGCCGAAATACATGTAGAACGGAAAACGAGTGCAGGAACCACATCAGTAGTGCTGATAGTAATATGCCGTCCTCCGGGGTTACCACTATCCCCGCTATATCACGGATGAGGTTCCGCTTCTCATGATGATGCACGGCCCCACAGGTAACAAACCCCGAACAGATATGGGGTGGATTCGATTATTCACAGCGCTCCTCATATCAGAGAAGTACAGTGGGTATCACTGCGGCTTTAATAGGCTCTTTGACACGACACTAATGATGTAAAAGAGAGACAAGGCGTGACGGGTTACGGGACGAAGAGTCACCCTGGGCGTCATGTCCGTGAATCCCGGGTACTGATACTAGTGCAGACAGGAGACGTTCAAGGGCATCATTACTAAGTTGAGATGTTACCCGATGTCCCTCCTTGCACCCGCATTGCATTGCACCCCCGCCGACGACGTCTGTCCTTGCAGCCTCATCGTGCACCTGCTTCCTTTTCATTTCGATTGAACATTGCCATCTATCCCCGCTCGGTTCCTCTAAATTCTCAACAGAAATTTCCTTCATTTTCTTCTCGTAATTCCAATTCTCTAGGCTCCATTCCCCGGACGATCATCACTAGTGCACGTGGTCTGTCCGACCTCGGCATCATGAATGACGACACTCACAGTAACGACCTGACGGGTCTCCCCGGCGAAATGCTAGAGCACATACTCACCTTCCTCGACCCGGAGAGCCTGTTCGCCGCGTCGAGAACATGCCGTTCTCTGAGGGGGATCGTATGGGGGAATCAGAGGCTCTGTCGGAGCGTATATCTTTCGCATCTGGTACGCCCTCCCCGCACCTTCCTCTCCTTCCCATCGCTGAAGTGTGCTCACTCGACGAGGTAGGATGAACCGGAGGATATGGATATCGATTGGCAGGGTGAGCTTGTTGGATTGTGTAGGTTGGAGAGCATATTCAATCCCAGGAATGACCCTGACAGGGAGGTACGACGGCGTTTCTGCAAGATGTGAACAAAAAGAAGAGGGTGGAGCATGACTCGGCTGACTTTGACAAGGTCCGCCACCTGCATGCCGTCCACGATACTATCACCAGCCTCCTCAAGAATGCGTCATGCAACGACAGCAGCGATGATGAGAGCGCCACCGTAAAGGACGAGGGCAACCGTGGTGCCGGTGGAGAGAAGAGCATCAGAGATAGCAGGAACGTATCCCGTCTACGACAACTCATGGCGTCCAACGAGCCCATGGCCCAAACTTTCATGCAGCAGTCTTCGCTGTTCGAACGCATGAGGAAGACAGCGTGGCTATCCTCGACGATGTCGCGGTACGACAACACACCGACAGAGGAGCACCAGATGTCGGCGCGGCTCCACTGCCTCTACGGACGCCCCATACTGAAGACCGGCCGCACCCGTTCCAACAGGAGCTACCCCTACGCCTGCTCGCGGGTGTACGACATGCGCCTCTACACGACGAACACCATGTGGGGCCCCTTTAGGGAGGACGGGTCGAAGAGGGTGGACTGGGAGAAGGTGGAGGCCATCAATATCGTGCTCTCGCACAATGTCGGCTCGCAGTGGCCGCAGACGAAAGTGTTTGACGATATCTGGGACACGCCCTTCTCCGGGTCGTTTCCAAAGTCTCAAGCGCCTGTTTCTGTGCCGCGGAGCTTGGGGGACCTAGCCTCCAGGGATCCTTACGGGGTTACCGGAGCGTGGTATCGGGTGAGCATCTCTTCCCCACAACACACTGTCTGCTCATATCCTTCTATTTCTTGTTATCGTACCTGAGTCTGTCTGCGGGACGGAAAAATAAATAAATAGCGCTGACTCTGAAGCATGGCAGGTTGTCTGCTTCCTCGACTACTCCGACTTCTTCCACTACAACTTCTCCATGGGCGGTCTCATCCCACACAACACCCCCCGGCAGCCGCTCAATGTCGGTGAAGCGACGAGACTCATCATCATGGATCTGAACGTCACAAGCATAGAGGACCCGGGACCCGAGGATGGCCAAGGCCTGCCTATAGTGCACTTCGAGGGGGAGTCCCGGTCGATACACCACTCGCTCGATAACAATGCCAACTCTGAGCTGCGAGGTACGCAGGGCATGGCCGTGTCTCATCTTGAAGCTACCGAGCGTGTTCAAACTGACATGGCGTTCTTGCAGGCTCCGTCCGTCTGACGAGGGAGGGAGAAGTGCGGTGGACTACCGTGTCCATCTTCCACGGACAGGAACGCTGGCGGAGCGAAGGTGTTCAGGTCGGCGGAGTACAGTCTGCACGCGGGGTGGTAGGGACATGGTTTGACAGGTAGATCCCCCCTTCTCCTCTGTCTCCATTACTACCCACAGAACGGAGACGGAAAAAAAAAAGAGAAAGAGTATATATATATATATATAAAAGTAAAAAAACTGACGAGATCCCAGGGACTACGACATGCATGGGCCTGTGGGCCCTACCGCGTTTTGGAAGGCAGCCGACGGCGAGAACCCGCGCGGAGCACTTCTCGAAGGCATATCGGGCGTCATGGTGGACGCGGCTTGGCCGCAGGGTGTGCTGCCGGCGGACGAGAACGACATGATCTTCCTAGACGGTAATGGCGAGGATGACGATGAAGACGACAGCTGGGATGCCGATCTGGATCCTGTGGCTGACGAGCTGCCTGGGTTGCTGCTAGATGCCGAGATGGACTTGGTGGATGTGGCGCTGCATCATCCTTCACCGGCGGTGTGAAGGTGGCTTTATTCTTCTTCTCTTCTTCCTCGTTTCTCTCTCTCTCTCTCTCTCTCTCTCTTATTTTTTATTTTCATTTTTATTTTATTTTCATTTTATATTTATTTTTTGGCGTCTTGTAATGTCCGTGTTGACCCCCTTCATTTATTATTGCTATTATCCTACACTGTTTGGAGTTCTTCTTGTCGAATCTATCATCTGATTTCACGTAATGAGGGGTAGTGTACATGATATATATAATCTAGCCTCCATTCTTCATCTCTCATAAGGCCCAGACTTAGAGCAGGCGCGGATCCGATCATAGCTTAGCCTTGGCCTTGACGTCAATGTCACTGTCGATATTCACCTTGCCGTGCTCACACGTGGCCATGACGGCGCCGTCGGACCTCCGGATCATGGTGCCCCGGAGGGTGGCCAGCCTGCGACCTATCTGGACAATCTCCCCCTTGATGAGGACCTCGCAGCCGACGGGCACGGGGCGGAGGTAGGTGACGTTGAGGGTGCGGCTGACGCCCATGTACCTCCAGTAGTCGGGGGCGCTGACGGCGGCGATGGCCATGGTGGTCAGGTAGTCGAACAGGGTGGCTGCGGCGCCGCCGTGGAGGTTGCGGAGGCGGTTGCAGTGGTCCCCGTGGACGGTGTAGGAGAAGGTGGCGGAGGGGTTGGGGGAGTCGACGTCGACGGAGACCAGGCCCACGCAGGGCATGATGGAGCTCATCCAGTCCTGCTTTGATGCGACGAGGTTCGTCAGCCTGTGTCGGTGGGGAGTTTGAGAGGATGAACAGAATGGATAGGAGAGACGACGAGAGAGACGGTGAGAGATGGTGGGATGGGGTGGGCAGGCAATCATGATGTGAATGGGTGAATGGATGAAGACAACGTACTCCCATTATGTGGTTCCCCTTGTCAGTCTTGGTCATCTGCATCCATCCCAAGACTCGCTCTTCTGGTGTTGCCTTGAGAAGATTGTCGTAGTGTTCGATCTCACTTGGGCCATTCGAGGATTCCTTGCCGGACCGGGCCATGGTGATCGTATGAGATGAGAAGAACGCCGAGACGGTCGAAGAAGAGTGCGGGAGGAGAGGATGATAGAAGAGGAAAGAGGATGGATGGGAGAGAGAGGTGACGATGATGGTACTTGCAATCTGTGATGCTCCGTAGCAAAAAAAAAAAAAAGGAAAATTAGAGTAACAATAGTGGTGATGGTATTATATATTATAATAATACAGTATTACCACTTCGCTGGAGAACACAGAATAATTGACGGCTATTACGAAGATGAACAACGACACAATCGTCAGCGGCAATAACGTATATTATCAGATACGCAAGCCGCACGGGACGAGGCATGCATGCAGCTCGGACACTTCTCTCGTCCCGCTCCTGGGCGCTCTCCGTGCTCTCTCTGGGAGCTGAGGTTCGGCTGATACTGCGGGGTGAGGTCTGTCTCCACGTCTTCCCAAGCTCCAGCCGGCTACAGCGCCGATCAGTAATACTACGTTACTACTCCGTACCATCATTACTTTACAGTGGGCTTCTGACCCCTATAAATTCCCAGACGCGTGTGCCGAGGCAACTGTTCCATCACACGAGGAGCTCGCTTATTCATCCGTCAAAACGTCTGGGCACGCCCATCGTCACGTCCTTGGATTCCGTACCATCACGACGCCCTGATACCAATCATCCTCGATCTCTCGTCCGTCCGTCCATCTCGCATGCCTAGCAACGTCTCCGATATCGGGACATGGTGTCGACACATGCAACATCGGCCAAAGCTCTGATCGGCATCGACCACCGTCACCATGGAATTCGTCACTGCCCTACGGGGCACCTTTGACGACCAGAAACCGTCGCTCTTCGAGATCCTGTCGGAACAGCAGCTGAACGGGCTCCTGCCGCCGACGCTACGATACCTCCTCACCGTGGCCACCCACCGACACCCGCGCTACCTCCTCCGCATACTCAACTCCTTCGACGAGCTCTACGCCCTGGCCATGCTCGTGGTGGAGCGGCACTACCTGCGCACGCGTGGCGGGTCGTTCACCGAGAACTTCTACGGGTTGAAGCGCGACAAGGCTCTGCGAGCCGAGATCCCGCGGGCCGGTGCCGCCGCCCCGCACGCCGCGCGCGAAGCTCTCCGGCTCTCCTCGACCGACGTCTGGCGCAACCTCGCCGTGCTCGTGGGCGTGCCGTACCTGCGACGCAAGCTCGAGGAGTCGTACGAGGTCAACGCCCCGCGGGCCCTGCTCGGCGCGGCCTACACGCGCATGCCCGACGAGCCGACCCTGCGGCAGCGCTTCATGCACTACTACCGCTGGTTCCTGCGCAACATATACCCCAGCGTCAATGCGGGCTACTGCTTCGCCGTGCTGGCCTTCAACCTCGCCTACCTGTTCGACGGGACGAAGTACCACAACCCGCTCATGTGGCTGATCGGGACGCGGGTGCGGCGCATGACGGCGGCGGATCATCAGGCCATCGACGCGCTGTCCTCCCCGGGCCCGGGTGCCGCCGCCGCCGCCGCCGCCGCCGGCAAGCGCCCCGGCTGGATCTCGCTGCTGTCCCCGAGAGAGCTGGGGCCGCGCGTGCTGTCCAGCCTGTCGATGCTGCTCCCCATGAGCATCTTCGCGCTCAAGTTCCTAGAGTGGTGGTACCAGTCCGACTTTGCCAAGCAGCTGTCGCAGAAGGCCACCGAGAACATCGAGCTACCGCCGCCGACGCTGCCGGGACAGGTCAGGACCGAGAGCAAGGGCGAGAAGAAGGGTGGCGAGAAGGACGGGACGGAGGAGGAGCAGCGGGATCCTTTGCCGGAGGACGCCCCGGTGGCGACGCCCTCGATGCTCCCCATCTACACCGTCAGCCCGCCCGACGACTCGTCGCTGTGTCCCGTCTGCCAGGGCGAGATGGTGACGCCGACAGCCTGCCAGACCGGCCTGGTATACTGCTACACGTGCATCCACCGCTGGATAGAGGGCACGCACCCGATGCAAGAGTCATTCATGGAGAACCGCCACGGACAGTGGGAAAGCGGTCAAGGTCGGTGTCCAGTCACCGGACGTCGCGTCCTAGGTGGCACCGAAGGACTCCGAAGAATCATGGTTTAAAAAATTTGAACCTTTTTTTTTTTTTTCTTTTTTTTTCTGCTTCATCTTCTACTCTCCGATGTTGTATATCACCATACCAGCTCCCTTGCGAACAGCTCCCTCCCTGCATTGTACCCCTGCCAAGGAAACCTTTTTCTTTCCCCTCTCTATCCTTCTTTCCATCGTCAGCTCCTCATCCTTCATCGGAGCAAGGGGAGGGGAAGAACCCCACAAGTGTAAATTTAAATCGAGAATCGAGGAGAAAAGGGCGAGGCCGGGACCCGAATATATCATCCGTAGTGCTACGTGGTAGAGAAGAATGGCATTCCAACGTTGCAAGTGCTGCTACCCAGTGCACCTTGGCCTCTGCTAGGTATGCGGCGTCACCCTTGGAAAAGCGTATCTGGGGTGGGGAAGCAGGAGGAATATGAGTGATGAGGGAGGAAGGGAAGGAAGGAAAGGGAAGGAAAGGAAAGGGAGAGGAGAAATTCACACGCTGGAATTGAGGAGCCGTCTGATGGAATGCATCCTTCACTGACCTTGTCTCGGATGGACAATAAAAAAAAAAGTCAAGGGCGGCGCCAAAGCCTGCGCGGCGGGGGGGGAGGGAGCCACGAGGGAAAAACCGACCCGGACGCCGACGTCGACGCCGACATCAACGGCAACATCAACGGCAACACTAGACGGCAATGATTCAATGGTGTGTGGTATTGAGATTGAGGTGAGAGACGATCCGATCCACTCAATCTACACAACTCAACCGATCCACTCAATAGCCGGCCACGCCCGAGTTTGTGGGAGTTGATCATCAGAGACACCATCGAACAGCTGAGGAATGGGATATCCGTCGTATCTTCCATGGGATCACGGTATTGGCCGACCACGACGGTCTATCGGACTTGTCACACGTGCATCTCCTGCTAGTTCCCGAAGTGGCTGTGAGACCGTCTCTCTTTTAGGCTCTTACCGACCTCTCCCTCGTGTGCTGCAACGCCATTCTTCCGCGCGGCTCTCTCTGGCGGTATCGGCATCGTCATGATCGATATCATTCCTGGCAACCGGGCCCAACCTCTTGATCTTGGAAGGGCAGGATGGAGAAGTTCGAGGAGGATAAAAAGGGACCGGATGGTCTGGTCATGGTTTCTCATCAATCCTCCTCATCGCCCACCCATCCACCGTTCATACACAATCATCTCATCCGTGCGATAGACCCCTCTCTGCTCTGATACGACCACGCATAAGATCTCCTGTGTCTTGTATATCTTATATATACCGCCCAGGCATCACACTCTCGGCACATCTTGAGAGAGGGACATAGTATCGGCTTACACTGCCATCACGAGTCCTACTCCAACACCCTCGAGATGGCCTACTCTCTCTCCACCTCCTACGTGGGCGAGTCCCTCCTCTCGGGCTTCAACTGGTTCGACAGGGCCGACCCTTCCAACGGCTTCGTGTCTTACCAGAACCGCCAGTCAGCCGAAGAGATGGGCCTCGTATCCGTCGACACCACCACCAACGCTACCCGCCTGGGCGTCGACCACACCAACACCTACGCCCTCGACCAGGGCCGCCCCTCCATCCGCCTCGAGAGCAAGGAGACGTACGACCACGGTCTCTTCATCGCCGACTTCTCGCACATGCCCCCCTCCCAATGCGGCCTGTGGCCCGCCTTCTGGGCCTACGGCGCCGACTGGCCTCGGGGCGGCGAGCTCGACATCATCGAGGGCGCCAACACGGCCCACGCCAACATCATCTCCGCCCACACCGCCGACGGCTGCTCCCAGGACAGCTCCCAGGACGGCCTGTACGCCGGCGACCAGCACAGCAAGGACTGCTCCATCGGCTCCGACAACATCGGATGCCGCTACGACCTGCCCGACGACGACGTGACGTCGTACGGCGACTCCTTCAACGCCGTCCTCGGCGGCGTCTACGCCATGAAGTGGGACAGCGACCACATCAGCGTCTGGCACTTCTCCCGCGGTGAGGTCCCCGGCGACATCTCGGACAAGAGGCCCGACCCGTCCTCGTGGGGCCTGCCCGACGCCCTCTTCGGCGGCGCCAGCTGCGACGTCGACAAGTTCTTCAGCAACATGAGCCTGGTCATCAACATCAACTTCTGCGGAGACTACGGCAATGCCGCCTGGGGCGCCGAAGACAGCTGCGACACCTACGCCGATACCTGCTCCGAGTACGTGGCCAACCACCCGGACGCCTTCGAGAACGCCTACTGGGACGTCAACTACATCGATGCCTACCAGTGGAATCACGATGCCACCACTCCCACCCCGACTTCTACGTCATCTTCGTCCGCCTCTCCCACTTCTTCCTCGTCTTCGTCTTCTTCTTCCTCCGGTGCCTCCTCTTCCGCTGCGACCACTTCCACCGTAATCGCCCCCACCACCCCTGGCTCCTCCGCCACCGTCCCCGGCTCGCCGACCACGGCCGCTGCCACGGCCACGGCCACGGCCACCAACCCGGTGACGGTCAACCGCTTCTCGCACCTGGGCTGCTTCGGCTCGACCTCGTCCTTCGGCTGCTTCGACGCCACGGCCAGCAACGACGCCATGACCGTCGAACTGTGCACGTCCCAGTGCGCCGGGCACGTGTACGCCGCCGTCTCGGGCACCGAGTGCTACTGCTCCGACGCCCTGGACGACCACACCCGCGCCGCCGCGTCCGCCGCGGACGGCACCGACGCCCAGTGCGACCAGCCCTGCCCCGGAGACGGCTCCGAGCTCTGCGGCTCCCAGTCTGACCACCTCATGAACGTCTACGGCGCCGTCCAGGACGAGACGCGCTCCGTGAACCCCCCTCCCATGGCCACCACCCCGCCCAAGTGGCAGGACTCGCCCGACGGCGGCGACGGAGAGGGCGTCGCCACAGCCACCGCCACCGCCTTCACCACCATCTGCCCCCCCTCGGCTACGGCCAACAACGGCACTGCCGTCATCACCAGCGTGCCTATCGCCGGGGTTTCCGGTACTGTTCCTTCATCAGTCTTGACTCTTGTTTCTGTCGCTCTGACAGGTCTGCTGTTTGCTCTCTGATTTTCTCTTCTTTTTTTCTTTTTTTTTTCCGGTTCTTGTTTTTTCGATTCCTCTCATCCTTGTCATCCTTCTTTCGTCACGTGCTTTACACTCTCTCAAGTATGACTGGGTACGACTACATTCTTATTTGGCATCTCCGGGTCTGGCGCCTTTCTTTTCTTTCCTCTTCTGTTTCTCTCCACGCACAAAAGACACACCACACTCCTTTTTCTCACCATCGCATGACGACGTTATAATGACGGCATTGGGGTTTCTTTTAAAAAAAAATATTTCTCGATAATTTGATAGAAGGGCGTTTTTAGGAGGTTTTGCTTTTCGGTTCGGCTTCTTCTTTTTTTTCCTTCCCCCCCCCCCCCCCCCCCCCCCCCCTTTTTCCCCCCCCCCCCTTTTTTCCCTTTTTCCCCCCCCCCCCCCCCCCCACGTCACCAGAAGAGAAATAGCTTCATCACTTCTTCCCCTTCATTCTCTTCTCTCTTTTTACTTGATTTTTGAACAAGCACCCCCTCCCCCTCCTTCTTTCCATCGCAGATGCACCGGGTCGTCAGACGACGCATCTCCATCTCACTTCTCACCTGCACCTTCGACCCACGGCCCGCGTATTGACGACTCTCGCCGGGTGAAACTGCCTTACCATCGGCCGAACCTGTCCACACTGCCCGCACGCACTCGCACAACCGCAACGCCGTAGTTGCCCGTCATGGCCGCGACCCAGGGCAGACGCAATGATGGTGCCGTCGAGGGAAATTTTGGGTACCTACCGTCCCTCGAATCAGCCGAATCGGATTGACCCCCCGCGACTGACGTTGACGTCTCTCTAGCATCGACTATGTTCTCCACTACAAGATCCCCGCCAGAGGTGAGCTGCCCTCCCCCCGCGTCGTCCTTCGCACCTGTCCGTCCGTCCACCCGCTGACGAGAAGACGTCTCCAGAGCATGCCGATGCCGAGGCTGCCTTTGTCCAGCTGATGACCGACCTCCACCAGGTAGGCCTGGATACGCAGGTCCGCAACGGCCCGGACTCGTCGCTCTTCGTCTTCATCAAGCTGGCTTCGGAGGACGTACTGGCGCAGAACGTCTACCACGCCCGCGTCCAGGACTGGCTGCAGGGTATCCGCTCCTCCCTGCCGGACAAGGATGTCGGAGCCACTCTGGGCGATGAGCCCATCACGGAGGCCGAGCGGTCGCGACTGGTGTACCTGATGCTCAGCAGGCCTCCTTCGGAAGGCGGGGCCGGCATACTCCCTCGCTCGGGTCGCTGGCGCTACGTCGATTCCCTCTTCCCCCTGCACAACAACGAATTCAACAAGGCCTGGCTCAAGAAGTGGAGCACGAAGTATCTCCTCGACCAGGACGACCTCGACGAGATCCGCGACAAGTTTGGGGAGACGGTGGCGTTTTATTTCGCCTTTGTCCGGTCGTACTTCCTTCTGCTGCTGTTCCCTGCCGGCCTGGGTCTGACGGCCTGGCTGTTTCTGGGACAGTTCTCGGTCGCCTACGCCATGCTCAGCTGCCTCTGGTGTGTCTTCTTCTTTGAATTCTGGAAGAAGAAGGAGGTCGACCTTGCCGTCCTGTGGGGCGTGCGCAACGTGTCCAACATCTCGCACCCGCGACCGGAGTTCGAGTGGGATCGTGAGGCCGAGGACCCCGTCACGGGAGAGCCCGTCAAGGTCTACAGCCACCTCAAGCGTCTGCGCGTCCAGCTCCTCCAGATTCCCTTCGCCCTGATCTGTATCGGCCTCCTCGGCGGTCTCGTCATCGCCTGCAACTCGCTCGAGGTCTTCATCAATGAAGTCTACAGCGGCGGAGGCAAGGCAATCCTGGTATATGCGCACATCCGGCCCCTCGCATCAGCTGGCTGGCCGGCTTGCTGACCGAGATCGCAGGCTCTCATCCCTACCATCATCATCAGCACCGCGACGCCCGCCCTGTCTGCCCTCCTCATGCGCGGAGCCGAGGTGCTGACCGAGATGGAGAACTACCCGACAGTTGACGGTGAGCTGGCGGCCGATCCCCTCCGGCGACGGTTGCCGATCCACTGACCGGACACACAGGTCACAGAGCCGCTCTCATCCAGAAGCAATTCGTGCTCAACTTCATCACTTTCTACATGCCCCTGCTCTTCACCGCATTCGTCTACATCCCCTTCAGCCACGTTCTCAAGCCCTTCCTCGAGTTCTGGAGCAAGACGGCCCAGGCCGTCACCTTCAGCGAGAAGCCCCTCCCTACCAAGCAGCTGCGGATGGACCCGGGCCGCATCAGCAGGCAGATGTTCGGCCTGACGGTTACGGGACAGGTCGTCAACCTCGGCATGGAGGTGGTGCTCCCCTGGGTTACGCGCAAGGCGTCTGCCAAGGCCAAGGAGCTGCAGACGAAGGAGGACCCGGCCGCCAGAGACCACCCTGAGGAGACGGATCTCATGCAGAGGGTCAGACACGAGTGCGGGCTCGACATTTACGACGTCAGCGTCGACTATCGTGAGATGGTGATTCAGTTTGGTGAGTTTTTTTTCTTTCTCTTTCTTTCTTTTCTTCTTTCTTCTGTGATACCCCCGACGGCCTCCGTCGCCCGCCAGTTCCATCTTCTGTCCCTCTTCTTTCCCTGACCGAGTGCAGGCTACCTATCCATGTTCTCCGTCGCGTGGCCCCTGGCGTCGGTCTGCTTCATCGTCAACAACTGGGTCGAGCTCCGCTCCGACGCCCTCAAGATTGCCGTGGGCAGCCGACGCCCCATCCCGTGGCGCTGCGACTCCATCGGCCCCTGGCTGACGGCCCTCGGCTTCCTCTCGTGGCTCGGCAGCATCACGAGCTCGGCCATCGTCTTTCTCTGCAGCCGCCCTCCGGATGGGGAGCTGAGCACCGCCTCCAAGATTACGCTGGCGGGATTCCTGACCAGCGTCCTCTTCGCCGAGCACTTCTATTTCGCCGTTCAGATGACCGTCGACTACGTGATGTCCAAGATGGAGAGCCCCGGCCTGCAGAAGGAGCGCAGGGAGCGATTCCACCTCAAGAGACAGCTCCTAGGCGAGGGCCAGCTGCAGACCGTGCGGCGGACGGCGCCGTCGTCGGCCCCTCGGACTGCCAGCGTCGGTGCTGCGACCGGTGCGGATGCGTCGGGGATCACCCGCCAGTCGCTCGAGGACGAGGCGCGCGAGCAGTCGCTCAAGGGACACGGGACCGACGAGGAATTGTGAGTGATGTGATGCTCGCGCTGGACTAGACGCGAGAAATATTCGCTGACATGCTCGAATAGGTTTTGGCTGCGACAGCGTAGCACGGACGAGTCTATCACCATCGGCCGCCAAATTATTCAAGAGGTGAGTGAGAGAGAGAAAGAGGAGGGACAAGAGAAGGAACATGATTGGACAGAGACCTAGAATGTAATGCTGACACTATGCATCTCCCACGCACAGCTCGTCCAGGAAGAGACAGGCTCTCCGGAAAAGGCAGCTCCTGAGCCTAGTCCCAAGGCCGAATGATGTCATGGATGATGACATCTTTTTTTTAAAAAAAAAATTTAAATTTTAAAATTTTTTTGGGAGATGACAATATTCAAGATGGTCATTCAGAAAGAGATCTGCAACGATGTTGGATATCTACAGTGGCACATTGGAGATGGAGAGAGGGGCAAAAAAAAAAAAAGGACAAAGAAGTGAAATTTGATAACTGGAACAGACGATAAACGAACGCACAGCTGTGATGGCTGGTCTTTACTCTCCTACTCCAGTCTCTACCGAAATACCGACGGAAAGGGTGGCGTGTGGGCGCCCCATTGAAGCGTGAAACTCGGTAAGCGAGGGGTAGATGTGTTGATGCACGAGAAAGAGAGGGATGGATTCGATGGAAGGAGACAGAGACAGGAAGAGAAGAGAGAGAAAGGCAAAAGGAAAGAAAAAAGGACATGCAGAGGACTCTGCCATAGGTATGGATGGTATACGCGTGGCTTCGTAGTCATCCTCGCTGCTTGACTCCCCTTTTCGTAGTCTTGTCTGAACCAGGCGCGGGCGGGGGGCGGGGGGTGACACTACGGCGCACCCTAACGCCTGGGGGGGGGGGGGGGTAAAAGTGTACGGAGTAGAACATGAATGTACCTTTATTTCTTTCATGGGCAAAAGAGTAGAGATGATGGACTTTTTTTCTTCTCTTTCTTTTTTTCCATAGGAGTTGAAAGGATCCCTTTGCCAGCAGCTAGATATGTTGGGACGTTTGGCAGGATCCTCGTAGACTCACTCATCCCGAGAATGACTGGATAGATGCGATTCAGGGCGGGGCCGAGACTTGGGAGGAACAGGCCGAGCCGCCGTCTGTCCGCCGTCGCGCTCACGATCGATTTCGAGTCTGTAGAGCCAGACGGGGAGCGATCTCAAGATCCCCTCTTGTCCGGACACGTGCCCGTCTCTCAATACCCATCCATATCTGGCCGTTTGGGATCGCGAGCTGGGAAGGTTACAACTCTCGATCTCATCGACGGTCCGCAGAGAGGCGAGGAGAGCGAGGAAGAGGGAGAGAGGGTATCAGACGGGCTGGGGATCAGATGCTCGCAGAGTGCTTCGTAATGATACCTGCGAGACTGTCGTGGGATGAAGCTGTATGAGCGCCTACCGTACTCTCGTACGTTTCGAGTAAAAGCCTGCGACGTGTCCATGGTCCGCCGTCCACCTCTTATCAGTTGACCGATGCTGCAATGATTCGGAATATCCATACTGACGAGCTATATGATTGCCGAGACTGATTGGGTCGAGGCTCAACGAGGCGCCGACAGGCATCATCAGCCGAATCGTCAAACGGGGCGTCGGGCGCTGTCTCACTCACTCTCACTCTCACTCTCACTCACTCACTCACACACACACTCTCACTCTCCCTCACTCACTCACACACACACACTCTCTCTCTCCTCTACCTTTTGATAGGAAATCTATGCTATATGTAGGACATGGTAGGACATATCAGGACTTTCCTGTTCTGCCTTTATCCCACCGTGGCCCTCGTGCTTGCCGTCCCACCTTGATGCTGGTCGAGATGATGAGCCGACATTGCTTTCCTCTCGGCCGTTGGGTATGGGTACCTGTACTTCCCAGTACTGCCATGTACATGTCCCGTGCCGACACGGGAATGGGTGATGATGTATGGAGCATCATCATTTCCCGCACCGTAGACGCCTGCCTCCCCCGCCCTTCAACCCTGGCCGTCCATTCGGCGGCGGTGATAGTGGCGGACAACTGGCGCCTTCCTATTCGCGAGTCTCATTCACGGAACCGTCTCCTGTCATCTTTGCCTTGATTGTTCTGGAGTGTGTGACTGGTTGACGGCCTCATGGTGGTGGGCTTTGGCATTCGACTTTGTGGTTTCCCTCCGAGTAAGGAATAGACGGATATTGCTACTAGCACACGCATAACGCATATAGGCAGCGGCTTGGAAGAAAGAGGGAGATACCCAGTGACGGCGAGGGTACTCTAGACTGTGCATCCTTCCGGTAGATACGGCCATGCATCTCCATCTCTCCCAGAGATTCTCCGTTTCAGCCTCATTCGTCCGCTCCTCACCCTCTCATCCTTTCGCTTCTCCTGCCCTCTCCGCCCTCCCGCGCGCGCGCGTGTAAGGCAACTGTTCGTTATCTCTATCTGTTCCCTACCCCCCCTTTCTTTCGCATATCTGTGCGCCAAGAGCCGTTTCTGGTCCGTCTCCATCCTCAGACCTTGACGCTCTCGACCACCTCCATACGGGCTTGGAACCGAAGACGTCGGCAAACCACCGCTGTCGGGACAGCTTATCAACCTCCAACCACCAAGACGGCGTCTTGTCGCCTTCAACATGAGCGTGAGCGAGGTTGACGATCTTATCCTGCACCACTTCAGGCTAATCGCCGACAAGGCCCGGCAGGCAGTGGGAGATGCCGGGAGCCACAACGTCGACATGATCAAGGCTGCGAAAGCCCTGCTCAAGGAAGGTGACCGTGCCGTGTCCAACATCGAGCCGCTCTGCACTAAATATCTCGAAGAATTCGGCCCAGTATTTACCTTTGCCGTTAAGGACAATAGTATGCCATAAGATCACATCTTGAAACCCCACAATATCTTAACTTCGCTTACATACATGCACCGTGTACTGACCCCCCCCCCCTACATTTCCACCACCGCTACCGCGCATACCAGGCCGTCGCTGTCCTCCTCCCCCCTCCTCCTCCAACAACAGCCATCATTTCCCAGCACCGCGCCATCCTCACCGAGCTCCTCTGGGAATTCGACGACTTAATCCAGCCCGAAGATGTTGACGCCTATGAATTCGCCAAGCTAAAGCACGCCTCGCGCAAGGCGGCCTTAGCCACGGTAGAGGCCCTGAAGTGCATGAAGCTTGAGGCGGCCGCATCTTCGTCGCCGCGCGGCTCCGTCAGCAAACTTCCCACCCCGCCCATGCTGCACGCCGCCGTCGCACGCTCCGGCCAGCCCACCGGCGGCCTCGGCGGCAGCCACGGCCACTCCCACCAGAGCTCATCCCCCAGCAGCAACGTCGCCATGGCTGACGTCCACGACGCGACCGCCCAGCCGCCCGCCGCGGACCCCTCAGCTCCCAGCACTGACCACATGACGATGGACTGGCAGGATTCGAGAGACCGCGGCCGGCCACGCTCACCCGTGTCCAACCCTTGGGACTTGCAGAAGATGCCGCCCACCGAGGGGGCCCCGCCGCCATCATCCCAAGCCGACTGGGATATCAATCAGAGGGCCTCAGAGGATGAGCCGCCCATCCTGCCGGCCGCGTGGCTCATCACAGATGCCGCATCTGGTGTGGCCGTCATACGCCCACCTCCGCCTGGCGATGGCGACTACCGGCCCGGATACCGCGACGGCAGCGTCGGTGATAGACGCATGAGCATTGCCAGCAGTTCCTGCAGCGCACACTCGGATCAGCACGACCGACCGAGGCACACCCGACCGAGGCACGAAACCGGCCTGTCGAGCTTCTCCATTCCCAAAGATAAAGTGGAGCAGCAGCACGTATCGCCGCCCTACGTCCGACACCCAGGGCCCGCATCGCCGGTGGCAGGGCCCCCACCATCGGCGCCGAATCCGCTGTCGTCACTGCCGCCCATCCCAGCCAGCAAGCACATGTACGTCCGGCGCGACTCAGCCATCGAGTCTCCGATATCGCCCACGGGCCCGACACCCCTATCGCCCACGGTGCTTGACGTCCCGACGAAGACACAGCAGCTCCCCATCCTCCCCGGGTTCGTCGGATCCCTTCCCGGACCGGAGGGTACGATGTCGCAATTGCCCGAAGTGGTCCCCTATGGCGCCACCCTGCCGATAGACACGGGACTCATCCCCGTCGAGACCGGCGCCGCGCCGGCGAGAGCGCGGGTGGTGACCGACAAGCAGAAGGAGGAGGCTAGGATCTTAGCCGATAGTTCTATCGCTCTATGTGGTGGGTTCTGCGAGGGCACCAATGAAGTCATCAGGGGTCGTATCGGTGTCAAGAGGTTGAGGAAGCCAGTATGCACTCCGAGAAAAGGAAGGGTGGGAGGTCAGTGCTGACATCGATGCTGCTACGCATCATAGGCCATCGTCACGACGGCAGAGGTAGCGCGATGCAACCATTGCCTGTACGAGCTGGACTTTGCGCGCATCGAGGCCGACGTCGACCGGCATGGTAAGCTAACGTCTGCTGTCGTCAATCTGTAGAAGTGGCTCGTGCTGGACGGAGGGAAGCAGGACTGACGCAGACTGCCTTGACAAGACCAGGGAAACAGTACCATGAGCGGCATAAACTACCGGATCCGGTTCCTGCAGAAGAGCCACCTGACCGTCAAGCGCATCGACGACGTGCAGTTCGGGTGCGTCTTCTGCGCGCAGCAGGGCCACACGCTGGACAAGAGCGACGCGACCGTCTTCTTCAGCGGGCACCACCTGTTCGACCACCTGGCGCGGCACCCGCGGCCCCTCCCCGCCGTGCCGGGCATGACCGTCATCGAGGGCGACACCGTGCCGGACAAGCACTACAACGACTACGACATCCACTTCCGGAACCCACCACTGCCGCACCCCGTGCTCGAGAGGATCGACGGCGTCGGTTCCAGCATGCCCACGGGCATCTCCAAGGAGCAGAGCCGCCGCCTGTTTGGCCAGAGGTTGCTGCCCGACCGGTCGCCGGCCCTGCAGGTCGCCAAGGGAGCGAGGATCACGTCGCTCCGCTGGCCCGACCGGTATAACGGCGAGTGGTGCTTCGGATGGCACGAGGGCACCTTCGCCTCCATCCCTTTTGACATTGTCCGCCTCGAGGTGCCGCCCTCTGACGAGATCAGGTACGACAGGCAGAGCCTTGTCACGGCAAAGGCGAAGTGGAGGTTCTCTGTCAAGGACAAGGAGTACGGCGATTGGCTCAAGTTTGACAAGAATGAGACTATCAGTAACTTGTGCTGTAAGTCTTTTTTTATTTTTTATTCTTCCCTTCTTCTCCCCCCTTTGTTTTTCTCCTCCTCTTCTCTATACATGTTCTTCTATAAAGGGAAAAACAGAATGAAACGAGAGGTAAGAAAAAGAAAGAGAAAAAAAGCTGACACGACAATGAAGGGGTCGATCGAGATTATTGGTGCTGGTCGGGAACAAATGAGAAGAACAAATCGGGCATCTTCCCCCAAGCTTTCATCAACACCAACACCATCATGGAGCCTACGGAGGGGGTACAATCGAGGATCACATCGCTAAGAGAGGAGCAGGCGCGGTCGTCATCCATCATGTCTAAGTTTTCGTGGAAGAATAAGTACGTCTAGACCTTGTTCTTTCCTCTTCTCTCTTCAATGAACCTTGACTTTGTTTTGAAGCTTGATCTTCTTTTCATCGTCATCACGGGACATATGAGCAGTTTTTTTTTTGTTTTTTTATCATCTTCCCCTTCTCCATAATTCCAGGACCCTTTCTTCGTAATATTGAATGTGCCCCCCCCCCCCCCCCCCCCCCCCCCCGTGCAGACACGGCTTGTCCACTGGCGGAGTTTGTGCAGTAACAGATAAAGATGTTACTGCCCAAGATATATAGCAAGAATTCCGTTTGTTCCTTGACAGGAATGGTATAATAAGTATACGGAGCGCCTATACAATCATTCTGGCGAATCTAGCGTGACGGTTCGACGAGGCGATGGCGACCGCGTATACGGAGGGATCCCCCGAGCAGATCCCCGATGCGCTTGCTGCCGAAACCGTCCCTCTGGCAAGAGACGTCGTCGCGCTCCCCACGCAGACGCACCGTCTCCTTCTCCTCCTCGGAGAGTTATCAGGCCGGCTCGGGCTTTGGGCGGGCAGGATGGACCGCCGTGACCTGGCCTTGGGCGTATTGGATCCGTCCTTACAGGCGACACTGCCGGCATTGACTATAGAATACAACGTGCACCCCATCATCTCCCATCATCTCCTATCACTCAGTTCCACCGTTGACGGGGCCTAGAATATGAGTCTCGGCTCTTCTTCCCCTACCATCGCCGTCCGCTCTCGATACCGCAGGAGTGCCGGGTACCTATGCAACGATACCACACGGGGGGGGGACTCGAAGAGCGGTGCAGGGGCAGAGGCCACGTCGGCCGCTGCTATCCTTCACCAGATGCCTCTCCCTCCCGACTACGTGCCAGCTAGCTGATACCGTCTGTCATCGACGTTCTGACCCTGGGATTCGGTCGACGACGGAGTGCATGCAGGTTGTTCCCCACGGTCAGAGAGCATAGCCCCTGATTTCTAATCAGTCTTCCCCGCGTCTCGAAGCGACGTGTACTGTCAGGTAACAGCAAATCTCCCGTTTTGGGATCAACACGAGCTCTTGAGATCCACTCAGCTCTCGGATACGGTACGTCACTGGCTGCCGGTGTAAGACGTGTGTACCGCCATCTTTTTTGCCCCGTTCTGGACATTGATGCTATCCAGTCGTCATCACGTACATCTCTGTCCAGCCGCATATCTTCCACGGCAGTATACGACCTCGAACAAGTCTGGGAACGCAGCAGGGTATGCTCTGCGCAGACAACTCTCCCTCTTGGGTGAGTGAGCGGGAGATACTAAGTCACGGATTATGCACTTTTGAAGCAACAGGGAAGCTAAGAACCGCAAAGAAATTACCAAGACGATATTTTTGAATTCCTAGAACCAAACTCCCTATACCCTATTCCATCTATATCGATATATATATACGCGTGAGTATGTGTGTGTGTATGTGTGTGTGTGTGTGTGTGTGTGTGTGTGTGTGTGTGTGTGTGCGTTGTATGCCACCTGTGGCTCCAGCAACCTGATTCCGAAGATGCTTTGCTACTAGCTAGTAATATATGTACAGTGCTAAGTAACCGTCAAATATGTAATAACTCGCCCCAGTCTAAGATGAACGGAAGAATACCCCAAAAGATGAACCTCGGCAATATGAAGTGTGAAGTCTGTAGAGCGTGACTCCTATACATGTAGGGAATGTTCGACACCTCAACATGATGTAGCGTGAAGCTGAATCATCGAGCTCATGGCGACGCTTTAGATGATCTGGTCGCCGACATGCTTGCTCTCATAGTGGTGTACGCGAGGCGTCCCGTAGTTGCGGAAGTGCTTGAAGTCGAGCCAGGTGATGGCGGTCATGTGCGAGGCAATACAGCTGTATGATTGGAATCCCGTGGTCAGCCGCAGTTGCTTACGTCCAAGTATCTCCAGGCATTTGACTTCAACGAACCTCATGAAGATGCCTAGCACGAAGATGACCCAGCTCAGAGTACAGCTGATGCCCTCGCAGAACTTGGTGTTGGCCTGCATCACCATGAAAACCACGGCAGCCCAGAATACGATCTCGAGTGCGTTGAGGATCACGTATGCCTTGAGGCTGGCCCATTTCTTGAAAGAGTTGACATGGCTGGACAGGAACTGATATAGGATGATGATGAGCGACTTTGCAGCCTGTCCGGAAGAAGGGTCTGGTAAGCTACCATAACAGCAACATCACGGACATCTGTCCGGGGAAGAAGAGAGAAGAAGAGAGCATACCATTCCGAGTGCCATGGTGTTGGATCGACCTGAGGGAGCATTCTTTGGCCGGGTCAGCATCTGGACGACGGACAGAATCAGGACGACCACGACCAAGAATAGCTCGGTGATATGGAGCGGCAGCTTGAAGCGATGGTCGAAGAGGGCGGCGAAGTTGGCCATGTTGGCGATGGGAGCTGAGATCGGCTGGCGTTTAGTGTTGTTGCGTCGGTGATTCCTCTGGAGGAGGGAGGTGAAGACAGATGCTGCGGCAGATGATATCGAGATATGCAGAGGCCCGAGAGTTGGATTGGAAAACGGAATGGCTGACAGTGGTGATGATGGTGATGATGATGATGCAGGGCAGAGACAGAGAGTCGGGACGTGAATATATATATACATATATATATATACATATATATGTGTGTTTAGATGGCATGGAGCCTTCAATCTCCAATCTCTAGCACATCTCGTAGCTCAAAGGTGTGGACGGAGAAGAGAGACAGTGTATGGCAGTTTTACATTTACACTGCCTCTGCGATTCATCGCATCTCGGTATCGGACTGCCACCTCGTTGGTCAGCCCATCAATCAAGCATCAACAACGAAGACGGCGACGGTCGTACACTCATGTTTCCTCGGTTTTGGTAGACGTCAGCTTCCAGCCCTATTGGTCGGAAGGCGGCCCGGTACCGAGACCGAGACCGAGACCGACGGATCCAAGAAAGTACAAGCACACGGACGGGGTAAACACATGGGAGAATTGACTAGAGTCTAGAACCCGGGAAGGGGGCCAGGGCCGGAGCAGGATATTATCATTGCTGTCTCAAATTTGAAGATTTCCGCCAAATTGACTGACAACCGCTGTTGATCATACAGAAGGGCTAGTTCCAGTCCAAGTCCAAGGCTTCTGCCCAAGGGGAGGGGGGGCCCCCCTGGTGGCCCTACACGAGTCTTACGAGTAGACGCCGCCGAGACGGAAGATGGAGGTGTAAGGGGGTCTGTTCAGTCGTCGACCGCCTGCTTGGAGAGGCGGAGCGCGAGGTCCCGACGTCGCATGCTCGTGCATGCACTAGCCATCACTACACGGCCCTTCATCTTCAGGGTCGAATCAGGCTGCGGGAGGATAAGCCCAGACGGAAGTGAGTGGGTTTCTAACATGTAACGCATGTAGGCATTTCGATGATGGATAAGTTGATACTGCCATAACCTCTCCAACCGGCACGGGAAGTGCCAAGATCGGTTCGAGCTTTCTACGAATATGATTACAAAATTAGACGAGTAACCCCTTCTCCATAATCATAGACTGTGCGGCCTGCCAGATGCCAGATAATGATGATGGCATCCCCTATTCCAGCCAGCAGCGCTCGGGTGTCGTCGTACTGAGTTGTGAGTTGTGGCAAAGGGGGGGGGCCTTGTACCGAGACCCTTCTTCTCGTCGACTGACTGTTCTGCTCGGACAACCCCTCTGGGTCGACGATGGAGGCAGCTCGGATACAGGGAAGAGGAGGAGAGATGCAAGGCTTTGCGAAGCATCTGAGCGGAGCCGGACAGCTGTCAACATCGACGCGTGGAGCGATGAAAGTCATCGTCTAGGACATTCTTTGGTAGACGGTCTCCGGTTGCCTCTGGTTCATCGTACTAGGGGAAGATCAGCTTCCACAAGCAAGCCGAGAGGGGAGGAGGATCTTCCACAATACCGCGCGCGCCGAGAGCGGGCGGGTGGATCAGACAAGGGTCCCGAGGGGGTCAGGAAATTGACCTGTCGACCGTCCAACGGGGAGAGCTCTCGATAGGCGAGTACGCCTCGATGGGCGTCTCATGAATCAATAAGGCTGATTCCAGCAGGAATTCAACTGTGGATCTGGGAGCCAGTGTCGGAAGCGATGGTGGTACCGGCGGTGCATGGGACGAAGAGCTCTAGAACGAATAGAAGGCATGTTTCGTCAGAAGTGGCTCATTCCGCCAGAGACGGTGATGGTTCGTATATCCATCCATCCATCCACTTGTCGTACCACTTGATCGGGACTGTGACTAACCGATAGCGAGAAGACTCTTGCTGAAATGAGATCTGTCCGACTCTCTTTGTCAAGGTCAGCAGCTAGGATGCTTCTTTTAATAGCTAATGCTAATACTATGCTTGAATTATGCGGGTCCAATCCAAATGTGACAGCCTGGCAGATTGCGATACTGTATCGAGGTAATACCTGCAGTTATTATTTCCACAACTCAACAGTTTTTCCTGAGAAAGGAGATCAGGGTCTTCCGAGACGCGCCTTGTCTACGGTTCCTTCAACTGAGCCCAGCCCCCTTTACTCTCGGGACACGCTCTTGAAGGTTTACAGAGTCCTGCTACGCATACTCCCCCTGGGTTCCTACCACATTCGTCGATGGGAGAGCATCTCATTCTCGATGCTGTTGTATCTGCACAGATGAACGCCTCCCACGTCTACATGTCTTCCAACTTCAACCTGCCAACGGCGTTTCACTTTTCTTTTTTTTTCCCTGCCGATTACGAAACCTCTAACCTCTGGCGAGGACGGACAGGTACGAGTGATCCGAGCGTCACACCCGACGTATCATCCAACCCCCCCCCCTTCTCTCAGCACAAGGCGCAATCGCGTGCCCAACCACGGTAGTCTTCATCTTACGCCCAGTCCCCACCTACTGGAAGGAATCCGGGGTCTGCGGTCGGCCTTTAGACAATTTGTGATGACTTATCATGGCAAGAATTACGACCATGGTAATTTCTTCTTCCTTCCACGCTGTTTTTTTCTCTCCTTTTTTTTGCAACCTACCTAATGCTGGGCCCTCGATGTGAGTCTATGCGATGGGTAAAATGGCATTCTTGATTGACAGCCTGTCCCAGGTAACACTTCATCTGGTCACCTTCATTACCGCGGGTCATATCATACACTCTGCGGAAATAAGAGAGGGATAGGTCACTCGACTCGTGTGCTGCAAGGAAGCGGCGCCGTGCGGCCAGCGTACCCCCGGATACCCTAAACCCGAAGTCCAGCAGACGTCGCTTGGGAGACGTCGCTTGGGGGTACCGCATCGAGTTCTCTTAGAAGCCAGACTGCTGTTCTCAGTCTAGGATATCGGCATCAAACCCATCCCCCCCCCAGCTCGGACCCCTAGATACCTGCTTTCCCCCCGAGAGTGCTTGCTTGATGTGAGGGTGGGTGAACTGCACTGCATTACTCTGTTCTGATCCCATCCAGCATAGGACATGTACATGTATTCTGTAAGGTATATTACTCATCTTCCACTTATAAAAAAAAAAAGAAGAGAAAGAATGCGGATGCATACGTAGCTCTACCGGACTGACTATGATGCTATGCGGAAAGGGGCGTTCATCCGTGTGCTGCAGAGTTGGGAGGCTGTCTATTGTTCATGCTGACCACGATGTTCGCTCTCGCTCTTCGCCAACACTATGCAGCGGGGCTTCGAGATGTCGACAGTCAGATTGCATAGGCTTCATATCCCATGTACTGCCGACGAATAAGAATAGACCGATACTCGTCAGAGGAGTAGGCTTATCCGGGTGCGGCAAGAGCCACGCCAGGGGTTAATACTCGAATCGCCAGCGCGGGTCGGAGTCGCCCTTCCAATCCTCCACTTCTCCGACATGCTTGATCTCCTCCGAGACGGCCTCCCTCTCCTTGTTCTGCCTTCTCAACCGCCAGGCCAGCACGGTGACCACGGCGGCGTTCGCGACCAGATAGGCCAGCGCCAGGGAATGGCCGACGACGAAGCGCGGTCCGTCGTCGGAGCGGTACAGCTGCGTCCCCATGACAGCACCCAGGTTTCCGATGCTGATCTGCATGGCGTTGGCAATCGCCCGCTTCGTCTGACCGGACACGTTGATGGCCGGCCACGAGAGCACCAGGGCCGTGGCAGGGTAGATACCGGCCGCGGCGAAGAAGGTGCCCAGGTACGACACGCCCGGCCGCGCGGTCGGGTCCGTGTTGGCCAGCAGGATGACGTACCCGATGGCGCCGACCACGGACGATCCGGCGATGAAGACGGCGCGCTGACCCGTGCGCTCCGAGAAGACGGCCACCGTGAGCGTCGTCACGAACGAGACGGCGTAGGGCGGGATCGTCAGCAGCTGAGCGACGGCGGCCTGGTACCCGAGATCCTTGATGATGGTCGGCATGAACAGCGACAGCGTGTACAGCGGCAGGCTCATGGTGTGGAAGCCCAGTCCGTACAGCCAGCAGGACGGGTCGCGCAGGGCCTCCCCCACGGCGGCCCACGTGAACTTTTCCTGCCGCATGGCGTCGCTGTCGGCCGTCAGGCGGTCGTGGATGAACCTGCGCTCGGCCGGGTTGAGAAAGCCGGATGTCTCCGGGTAGTTCTGGATGAACCAGAACGCGCCGAAGGCGATGACGACCGTCGCGATACCTTCCTGCGGTGATGCCGTCAGGACCCTTGACCTATTCAACATCACACCACATGCCGACCGTCGGGCCAACGTGCGCCTTACTGTTCTCGGATAGACTTACGAGGATGAATATCCAGCGCCAACCATTGTCCCAGACGACGCCGGCCATTTTCCCGATTCCCTGCCGTCGATTCGACCGTACGCGTAAGCTGCCTGTGCGGTCCCGACCGCGATGCTACGCGCCATGTTCGGAAGCAGGTGCACTCACATAGGCCAGGATACCACCAAAGGCACCGGCAAGCGACGCCGCGCTGAAGAAGAGGGAGATCCGATACTGTCTCTCACGGCGCTTGTACCACATGGAGAAGTAGAAGACAACGCCGGGGAAGAGGCCGCTCTCCGTCACGCCAAGGAAGAATCGCGCGATGAGGAAGCCGGTAAGATTCTGGACGATGCCCAGAAGCGTGGCGACGATGCCCCATGCTATCGTCAGCGTAGGTAGCCACAGCCGGGGTGTGGTTCGCTTGAGGATGATGTTGCACGGAATCTTGAGACTGTCAGCTATATGCGGCCTAGCCTCTCGAGCTGCCTAGGAATCGAGAAGGGGCGATCACCTCAAAGATGACATAGCCGACGAAGTACAGGGTGAGACCGGTGAGGTATTGGTTACCAGCTGAGACGTGTGAGTGTGCTGCCATCTTCGACGCCGAGGCTGTCTTGTCAGGTGGACTCACTCATGTTGAGGTCGTCGACCATGCCCTCAATTCGAGCATTTCCAACTACAGACGGAGAGAGAGGGGGAGAGGGAGAGGAGGAGGAGGTCAGTAAGCTGAGCCGTCCGTCTCATACCACGCAGGGTCACTGGAAGAGCATCGATATGCTTACCATTACTGCGATCCAGAAAGGATAGCAGGTATAGGACCCCGACGGCGGGCAGAAGCTTCAGGTCGAGCTTTCTCAGGAGCGACCTCTCGTTGATGGGGGCACCGGCCTCGACGGTGCCGCTGTCGTCGCTCAGTTCGGGCGGCGGCCCTGTTTCTTTCAATTCAGCCATACTATGACCGTCGAGGTTGGCCTGGAACGATGTGGGAACGGTGCTGTCGAGTTATCGCAGATGTATCACTCCCTACGTATGCGATCAATGTCTGGCGTCGCATCAAACACAGGAGATGCCTCTCAGAGCGATCAATGCGGAGGCTACAATGCGGAGAAGAGATGGAATACGGAGGGAGGGAGGGCATGAGATGAAGGCTTCACTCGTCTATCAATCACGTCATCTTCCCTTCTCAGCATGATGGGGGCTTCCTTTCATCTATCGGATTGCGACATCCCGGCTATGCCGTCCTGCCCATCGCCATCGATTTTCTGATTAAAATGGTGCTTCTGTCAATCTCCGCGAAAAGTGCTTCCGGCGTCTAGATGTGACATGAAGAAGAATCCACTCTACCAACCTGCTTCCCCATATGGAGAGGGCACAATTTCGGCATTTCGATTTAGAGCGTCGTGGTTTTAGCGGGGGTGGCTGCTTGGCCTGTTCGGCCCCCAATGTCGTGATGGTGTCGTGATTATCCTGAATATTGCGTGCCCCGGCCATGTACACGGGCCTATCTTGCACGGGAAGTCATATCCACAATTGATTGCAAACATGCGTTTGTTTCTCGTTCCACGTATCAGAGAAGACGTATTAGACACTCTATATATATATCGCATGTATCTACGCATCGCATCTCATCATGTACGTACATGCGACGGATGGACCATAAGTATATGTAATAAGTCCCTTGGCTCTTCTTACGAACTCTTCCCCGCGGGAGGGCTCATTGAATAATATATTAGCACGACCCGAGCTTGGTCCCCGGTCGGGATAAGAAACCCCACACCTCAAGTCAAGTGTTCGTCTCCTCTTATCCCTCCCTTTCCTTTCCCCTCCTCTTCCCTGATCTGATGCTCTCCAGATGAAGGACACCCCGGGTGTGCACGTGCTCTCTATCACACTTCCAGCCGAAAGCCCTCAGAAAAGAAAAAGAGTTCTGCTGCATGCAACTCGGTCGACTCCAGGCTTACACGCTGCCATCAAAGTATGGCCTCTCTCCTTGGGGCGTGATACGAAGCATGTGCCGACGAGTTGCACCCTCGACTTGGAAATCGCGAAGAGCAGAACTTTGAATGGCCACCGGTGGTCAGTTTCGGTAGGTCGAGCAGGTATTAGAACCAGCAACTTACTGTTGAGTGACGCGGTTATCGTAGACGACCACCGTTCCGGGCGTCCAGTGCACGCGAATGTGCCAGTCTTGTCCATGTTCAATGTGGTTGTAGAGGAAGTTGAGAATGTTTGCTATCGATCGGTGAGCATGTCTGTGTGCAGAGACCGTTTCTGGGCCGAGACTCCATATGCAGCTGACGTACCACTCTCTTCTTCCTTGAGACCCTTGATGCGGCGGGTGTATAGGCGATTGACGTACAGTGACTTGGACTTGGTAACCTGTAGGAGGGACGGTCAGCACATGTGCATCCATATCAGATCCCGCAGCTATGGGGGAGCTCTGCACTCACAGGGTGCGTCCTAACCACCGGGTGGTCGGTCTCGATTGGCTCGCGGATGAACCTCTCCTTGTGGTCAGCCACGCGCGCCTGGTCAAGGCCGGAGTGCGTCGCCTCGAGGCCGTGAAGCTTCTCGCGGTAAAGAGGCGACAGGGCGTTGTACGCGGCAACCGTAGACAGGTACAAGGTGTCACCTCCCGTCTTGGGGGTGTCGAGCGCCAAGAAGATGGTAGTACCCATGCCGTTTCTGCAAGACGGGCAGCCAGTCAGCCCAGCGCCGATGCTACGAGGTGAACAGAGGAATGAACCTACATCTCATAGGACATGTCGGTATGCCACTTGATACTGCTGACGTTGTCCTTGATCTGGTTGTCTACCGCGCCAGCCCTATCACGATTGTCGATAGGTCAGCAGAGCAAGTTGCATGTTGATGTCTGGGACCAACGTTGAAAGGGAAATACAAGAAGAAGAAGAGGAAGAAGAAGAAGGAAAGCCTGCGACATACGTAAGGTCCCGGTAGATTGCCAAGAGCTCAGGATGGTCCTTGACATGGCCACCGTTCTGGTGCACATGCAAGGGTCCGAATTGAGCAGCGAACTCCTTCTGCTTCTGAAAGCCGATGTCGACAAAGTCTTGGTCTTTGAAGACGACAACGCCCCTCTCAGCCGCCAGGAGGGCTAGCTCATCTTTCTGCTTCGAATCAAGGCTGCTCAGCTGGATCCCACGGACCTCAGTACCGATCGCAGGCGTGATGTCCTGGAACGAGGAACCTGCAGCACCCAGCAGGGAAGCCTTGCTGGGATCGGCACGCAACCCGACATCTTCGTGCCGGAACTCCTCCAGGGGAGGCTGCAAGCCCGGCTGGAAGTGTGGGAGGTAGTGCGAATATTTATACTGGCGATAGCATTTAGCAACCAAGACGTTCTCGAATCTTGATCTCATCTCAATTTTCTCCCGGTTCAAGCTCAGTCAGCTCATGCAATAACTGACCTTGTCAACGGTGTAATCGATCGAGGTGTCAAAGCTCAGCTGGCCAACCACCTCGGCGGCCGAGGTTGTCGTAACGGTGGTGCTAGACATGATGAATAGGTGTAAGTGAGTAGTAGTAATATTATTATTATCACTACCGGACAAGGGGGTGAGGTGATATTATGGCGCTATCTCCAGAGTCTGTATGTTGGTGATGTCTCTCTCACACGCCAAGTCCGTCGCTATAACGTTGCAGGTACGACGTCCCATTCTCTAATATATCAATTCAGTTCTCCCCAGAACTGCCCTTGATCGGTTACATGCTTTGTAAGACGGAGCGGGGATGCCGGGCTGTCAAAGATAGCATACTCCGTCATAACACATGTACCGTGATAAAATACCAGGCGGCAGAGCGACCCCGCGATACGACGACTATGGCAACATCTCTGATGAAGCTGATGTGACTACGACCTGTGACCCTGGGCAAACCGCTGTTGCCGTCATGTTATTCGAGATGTCGCATGATTATCTCCACGATGGCGATTCCGGTTTCAGTGATTCTCATTCGCCCACTCTGGGTAAGCAGCTATCATGTTCAATATATTATCATGGAGCTCGTAATTTGCGGCGAACATGGCGACGCCGAGCATGCAAGCATAACCGACTTACGTCCGGCTCCGGAGTGCGCAGGCAGAATAAGAAAAGTATAAAAATAAATGAATAAAAAAAGAAGAAAGAAAGAGATAGGGAAGAGAAAAAAAAAAAAAAAGAGATAAAGTCATTGACGGGACGCCACCCGAGCCAAGACGGCATCTAGTCCAATTCAGGCCCTTCCCACCCATCGATTCGATCGTGACGAAACTGCGCCATGTCAGCTGTCAAGAACCCAACAACAAGCGCTGCCGCCGAGGTGTCTGCATCTTCCACCGACGAGGAGCTCGCAGGCCCTGTCATTGTGAACCTTGACGAGGGCCAGACTTCTGTCAAGAGGCCACTCTGGAGGCGGGTCGCAGGAGTCTTCTGGGACTCGGTCGATGGCGATCCCAGGGACAAGCGGTACATCCAGAAGCTGGACGGGTTTCTATTGTAAGTGGGACGGTAACTGCGCTTCGGCGACTCGGGCTAGGTCTGACAACGTCGGACAGTTCATACATCTGCCTGGGATATTTCATCAAGTATCTCGATCAGACGAACATCAGTATGTGACGAGCAAGTCCTGGAAGTCTCATCCAAGACAGCTTACAACTTCACCAGGCAATGCCTTTGTCAGCGGCATGAAGGAAGACGTCAGTCTCGTCACTCCGTTCGTCTCCGGTCCGCGTTCAGCCTGACTGACATGCCACGTGCCACCGTTTATAGCTCGGTCTGTACGGAAACGAGCGTAACTGGCTCAACAGCTACTTCAACATCGGCATCCTGATCGGCACAGTTCCCTCGCAGATAATCCAGCTGGGATTCATCAGGCCGTCAGTCTGGATTCCGCTATGCGAACTGACCTGGTCCATCCTCGTCATGATCATGGCGTCGGCCAAGAACGTCGAGACGGTAGGATCACGCCGCCCTCGAAGCGGGTTGCCGTCGCAGACCATCCATCTGACCGCATCATGTCTCGCAGCTCTATGCCCTACGATTCTTCATCGGCCTCTTGGAGGCAGCCGCCTTTCCCGGATATGCCTCCCTGCTCGGAGGATGGTATGGACCCCGCGAATTGAACAAGCGCATGGCCATCTTCGAGCAGACGAGCGGCATCGCAGCCATGTTCAGCGGATACCTACAGGCTGGGCTGTATAAGAGTCTCGCGGGCCGCAACGGCCTGGCCGGTTGGCAGTGGCTGTTCATCTTTGACGGGTAATGTGGAATTCGATGCTCGACGCCTACCATACATACCATGCGTCGTAATCCATGTACTGATGCCGCTTCACACCGACAGCATCATCTCCATACCAATCGCCGTCTGGGGCTTCTTCGCCATCCCAGACCTTCCCCATACCACTCGGGCATTCTACTGGAGGAACGATGTGAGTCCATCCCACTGAGAATAAGCATCGCATGACGATGTGAGCAGATGGTTGACGGTCAACAGGACAAGGAATACGGGATTCGCCGCGCGGAGAGAAATGGCCGTGTTGCGCCCAAGAAGCTTACCCTGAGAGCCGTCGGAGGCGTTTTCATCAACTGGAGACTTTGGGCTTTTATCCTTCCATACCTGTGAGTAGATCGATAGCTCTATGCTTCTCCGTCCGTCTCTCTTCGTTCTCCTCTCTTCCTTGCCCCCCCCCCCTTTTTTTTTTCCTTTTACACGCTGCAGACGCTCATCCATTTCCAGCATGGTTGCCGAAGCTGCCAGCGGAACAAACTACTTCAACCTGTATCTCAAGGCAAAGGGCTACAGCGTGGTGCAGACGAACGTCTTGCCTACAGCCGGAAACGCAATCAGCGTTGTCTCTGCCTTTCTGGCAGGTGCAATTGTCGATGCCACGGGGGCTCGTCTGTCCATGACGGTTCTCGTCCAGACCATCGTCCTGGTGTCCAACATCCTGCTCGCTGTCTGGCATATTCCCGACAGTGCACGGCTGGCGGGATATTTCCTGTCGTACGCCGGGAGTGCAGCGCAGCCCATCATCATCGTGAGTGCAGTGCAGTTGATGGCATACGTTGCCCTTGCGGGTTCCCGGCATGGTCCGTATGTTAATATTGTGCTGCTCGTCTAGTCTTGGGGTCACCATCTCAACGCCGCCGATCCTACTCTCCGTCAACTCCTCGTTGCGACCGGAAACATATTCACATACAGCTTCTCGACCTGGCTTCCCTGTGAGTTGGCCTGCATTGAAATTCTCTTGCTCGGTTATGTACCTAACGCTTCCAATCAGTGGTCCTCTTCCCGACGTATGACGCGCCTCATTATAAATACGGTTACCAGACTCTCATCCTCTTTGGTGGTCTCGGAGTCATCGGTGCTTTCCTGCTCAAGTTTCTCCATGAACGATTTGGCTAAGCGCTGGGCGCTCATGGGAAAGCGGCATATACCCGCATAGTACATAGTAGGTACTAATAGTGTATGCATTATCAGTACACACACACGACTACGTTTTCGTAGCACTTATAGATGTTTTCGTTGTTTGATTGCGGGAATTCATCATCGGGCATAAGTGTCTGAAACTCTACATGTTGGTTATGGCCAAGGTTTGAGAGATGCAATCTGCAAGATAGACCTACCAACTTTCCTATCCGCACACATCCTTTACAATGAGAATATTAGCCAGGCATCGATGGATTACTTGCCCACATCTTGTCAGCCGTCCGTTCTGGGGTGAACGAACACGGTATACTCTTCTGGACTACGAAAACCCTGGTGACCCCATGATAGGGACATCTGGGTTTCTAGGCGTCCGCTCTGGGCCTCTTCCCGAGACCAGGTTCGCCGTTAGCATCTGTAGGGGAGAGCGGTATCCTTCTCCTCTTGTTCTTTGCAGCCTGGGCCTTCAAAACAGACGAGTGGTCAAAGTCGATAATCATGACACGCTGTAATTCTTCATTCCATACCGAATTGGCCCTGTTCTCGTCGCAATGCTCCAGTCCAAACGACCTCAGCTCCTGGAAAGCATCGGCCATCTCGCGGCGATGCACATCGTGCTCACCTGTGTCCCGTGTACGGCTCCACAGAGACTGGCCGCAGTATGACATGAGCATCATGTGCGATATGTGGGCGCCGTACAAGGTGTGGTATTCGTGCACCAGCACGACTACTCCCAGGTTCACGGGCACTAATCGACCCTGGCAAGACTCGAGCACGCTATAGGCCGCCAGCTCTTTCTCGAGTCGTTTTCGATGGGCATTCTGTACCCCCTTGGCAACGAAGCAGTAGCCGTACCGGCTTAGGGCAATCTTGAATATGGCGCCAATGGCACCATACATGCCATAGCGTTCGAGATTATCGCAGTCGCGGTCCATGTCTCGGGCCAGCTGTTCCATAAGCTTCTTGCGGAATTCCTGGACAGAGATTGGGTGCCGTTGTCGCTTCTCGTCATTGCCTGCATCGCTATTCTCGCTACCGTTGCCATCCTCGGAGGCGGGTGTTGCACTTGTGTGTAGAGGAGTGTTGGGACAGTCGGGATCCACCGAGCCGCCCGTCTTCAAGCCCAAAAGGCAGGCCTGTGTACAGTATGGCTGCTTGGGTGACTGATACACCCCGGAGCAGAATGTGTCGATCGTCCACGCGGATGGTGCCTCCGAGCGGTCGTTGCCTGCGTCATTAGAAGAAATAGCAGGGGAAGCAGACTTCTTGGCCGAGGACCGCGTTACACGGCTTACAAGCGTCATGTCCGGCCTGGATTCTGACCCCGATGCCCTTTTGGCACTCGGTGGACGAAATGTCTGGTCTGGATCTTTGTCGTCGTCGCCCTCGTCTTCTCGACATCTCGTGGCGAATTTCTGGGGATCCCCGCAAGACTCTGAATTGCCATCGCGACTCTCGGGGTGGAGATCGGGGGTCTCTGTCAAGACATTTGTATCATCTCGTCGTTCTCCTGATGCGTCGCTCCCGGGACCTATTTCCATGTCGTCGAAGGGGGTGGGCCAAGTAGGTAGCGTCTCTTGCATTGTCCTCTTCCATTTCTGAGACATGTACTGCCCCTTTATAGACATGAGAACGAACGCCACTGCGAGTGACACGGCAGAGTGCTTGATTCCGTCGCGGCTGTTGGAGTTGGCTGACACGCCTGGTTCTTCCAAACGATAGTAGACGGTTGTGGGTTCATCAGGGTCGAGGAAAAGGAAGATAAAGGCAGGCCCCGTCGCCAGGTAGCTGTATTGCAGCCCATATTCGACCATGTAATCATACGCCTGGGTCATGATCATTCCGATCGAGATTTTGGGCCTCTCCTCATCCGAGACCACACGAGGACTGAGGGCCAGCCTTGTGGCATCCTCCATAAGGGAAATCGATGCATCACTACTAGTCTCGTCTGTCTCTGACCCGAGCAGCTTTCGTAGCGCCGAACTGTCGATCTTGTGCGGGGCCTTATACTCGATGACAAATAATGGAAGAATGGATTTGTCGTGATTGACCCGAAAGCATCATAGGTCGGGATGCACCGTAGTCCGGAGAGGTGACTTGCGCTTCCTTGGACGCCCGGATGGATCGTGGCCCTCAGCCTCAGCCTCAGCCTCAGCCTTGGCTGCCCTTTCCATATCGGCCTGGGCGATGGCCAATGCCCCTAGGTAGGCGGGTCGATCATCTTTAATGATAAGCTGACCGGTAGAACGGGCGCCTCGTGAAGCAGAGAAAGAGCCGCCTCAGGTGGCCAAGGTGGGCCTCTCGCCACCTTCCTCCTCTTCGTCATCTTCATCCGACTCAGTGGCTACCACGCCAAATGGATCGTAGGCAAATGAGATATCACGCATAGACTGTGGCGAGGAGGTACCAGAAGATTCAGCGGCAATGCGAGCATAAGGCTCGAAAATGTTCCGGACCCGATTCACGACGACGGTTTTCTCAAAATTCGCGAGACCATTCTCTCTAGCTATCTTCACACCAGAGATGTCGCTAACAGCCAGGTTTAGCTCTGTTGAAGAAGGGAAAATCCGATTCTGTCCAAACGTCTGTTCTAGATGACTAAATTCTCTCTCGAGCATCTGTTCGAAGCCAACCCACGGTCGCAGACGACGGGGGTAGAGCTTCCCGGTCACATTGGTAAGCCCGCCGGCGGAGACAAAATCTGAATTTGTCTCCATCTCGAACCTGAGAAACAGCTGGTCGTGGCAGGTCGAGAGGAACTCGGAAAACGTTGCTTTGGCCAGCCGGCCCTGGAGTTGCTGGGCCCGGCGTTCTGTTTCTCGAGCCCGGCGTTCTGTTTCTTCGGATATTCTCTTCTGTCGTTCCAACTCGGCCAAGAGCTCCTTTATTCGCTCATTGTCAGATGACATTCTGAAGACACTTTGGGCTCGGCCCGCGGTCGGCGAATGACTGGAAATGGTAGAGGCTGGCAATCAACGGCCCATGGGAGTGAATGAGGCAGAGAATCACTCGTTGACGCGCGTCTCCACTATAGCCCGTGCCGGGTCACGCACGTTAGAGCGAAAAGGGGGAATGCAAAAAGGGCATTTCAAGGTACAGGACCAAACACGACGTGCAGTGATGATGAAGACGACGATGATGATGGACAGTTCAACTTCCACGTGCTCCTGGATGCTGAACTGGGATGGTAGTATTGGGTGGCAGGAGCCATGTGTGACACCCGTCACCCAGTCAAGTGGTTGGCCTGTGAACTCCGAGGCTGGCGACCGGGAAGGAGCCATAGGCCTGCGCCCCGATATGCCAATAACTTGGCACACTGCAGAAGTTTTCGGATATAAGATTTTCTTTCCCTGCACACGCAGACACACACTCGTACTAGCTTTCTCACATCACCACATCAACACCTCACTTCTTCCATTCCCCTAAGCACCCACAACAGCATGTCTTATGATTATTATCTTAGGTGAGGCCTAAATAGGTAGCAGAGAGAGTCCCATGGACCGGACAGCCTCGACCCAATCATACGGCCTAGATTCTTTCTCGTCAGCCTCATCCATCTTTTTCCAGATTAGCCGTACCACGCTCCATTGTGTCTTGATGTTGGCAATCTTGTATGACTGCACTCTCTCCCACCACCGATACCAAGGATCCCGGTCTACAGCCTCGCAGGACGCCACGAAGGCGGGCCATGTGATAGGGGCCATGGAAGACTGAGAGCAGGACGCCGAACTGCTCTTCACATCCTCGACTGCCTGCATGTTCCTGGCCACTGCGTCGATATATGGCCCAACCTCCGCACCTGCCAATCTGCGGATACGTCTATTATAGTAAACAACAGCGGCCTGATGCCAGGCTTTGGCGTGGTATCGGAAGATTTGCCGCATGTCCATGCTGCCGATCGAAGAGAGAGAGGGCGCCTCTCCCTCCAAAGACCAGCAGAGCAACTCTCGGTGGAGCGTGGTGGCGCTGTGGACGAGAGATTGCGGTGCCCTCTGTCCCCTATATCGATACCACGCCAGGCTTTCAGCAATCTGACAGGTTTCCTGGATGGAAGCAGCGATCTGCGGCGTCACGCCATACATGTAGAACACACACGAGTCTGGCTGCCCGATGTGTGCCATGCTGCTCACGTTGTTGTAGACCATGAGATCCGCGTGGCGCTGTGCTGTTGACGGTATGCACCGCACTAGCAGAGAGAGAAAGTCGCTGATCTCATCGAGTTGCCGGGTCGTGTGGCTCGTGAGAGTGCTCCGGCGCATCAGATGACGCAGCTGCTTGGTTCCTCGTAGATGAATGGCATAGTCGGCCTCGCATCCCGACATGACCTGTGCGAGCATGAGTACTGACATTGTGGGCGAGCCTTGTTCAGCTCATGAGAACATACATCGACAGACACCAAGGACAGCATTGCCATGAGCATGGTCTGGTACTCTTCTTCCGAAACCGGCAGGTTGATGGCGGACTGAAGCAGGGCCAAGGCCTTGTGTCGATGCTGGGAGCCGATCCTATGGTACTGCGTCTGATCCGGAAGGCAGTTCCACAGATGGTAGGCAGAAGACGCAAGGAGCGAGTGCATCAGGACCGATTGGACGATAGGCCTGTCGGGTCTGTTTCCGGTGACGGGTGGCTGGCCACGAGACGCTGCCGCTAATGCCGCGGGTACGTACAGGTTTCGGTATGGGTTCATGGGGTGTTCGACGGGTATGAGAAGCCCCGCAATGTGTACGATGTAGTGATGCATGAGATGTAGATCCCTGGACTCGGCAGCTGAGTTCTGGGGGATGGCCGAGGGCTGGTATCGTGACAGCGAAATCACAGTGGAGCTGCCTGTCGTTGCTGAGTCGCCAGACGGACCAGTCCCGGCCATTCTCGATGACCGGGCTTCAGTACGACTAGGAAAAGCCCCGTGAGTCCAACACCTGCTACGCGCGACGGCGGCATCGGGCAAGGGGTCGGATTCGACCTTGGTAGGCCGCCGAGCTCGGTCTGCTTGTTCTGCTCCTATACGTGTGAGGGACTGAAATGTGGTGAAAGGTCCCCTCTGAGAGCCCGAACAGTGCACCGAAACATCATCCTCGAGTAACGTCAGGAACTCATCAATCTCATCTAAGGAATAGTGGCCGTGCTGGTGCCAGCACGGTTCTGTGACGGGAGGTCAGATGCCAGACACCCATGCGGACGGGAGAGGAGGGGGCGCATTCACCAACTTTGACACGCCCGGCAGCAATAGTCGCCGCGCCGGGCGTGCCTTGAGAGAAGCCAACCCGAGCATGCGCACTGCCGGTCCACTGCAGCCTGACGCCGTATCCGGCACAGTCCAACTTCAGCCGCTCACAGTTGCCGCATCGTCGGGGCCGTTCGTCACACTTGACCTTTCTTCCCTTACAGGTCCAACATCTGGGAGAGTATAGACACTGTCAACGCTGCGCGGTCTTCAAGGCGTAGAGGGGCGTTCACGAAGCCACCGTCCGTCCTTACGTGAGGGGCCAACGCCGAGGAAGGGACCCACCCAGTAAACGTCATGGCCCGCCGGCCTGTTCTTGGTGGCATCTGGTACTCTTCGTGGGTTTCATGCACTCGGGGGCACGCACAGTCCGAATCCCAGGACTTTGTTGGTTTGGTTGTAGAGCCAGATTATACCTCAGTACGGAGTAGAGCTCGATAGCTCGGGAGAAGCCACATGCAGGCGAGGGGCGTCAACGTCGATCCTGATACATGTTGATAAGATATGGAGGCCGACAGCTTGTATAGAATAGAATCCTGATACATGTTGATAAGATATGGAGGCCGACAGCTTGTATAGAATAGAGATACGTATACTCTACTCGTATTGTCCGATTCACGGAGCTGACTGGAGACGGGATAGATGGAGATGCGAAGAAGACTGTGCTATCTACAATTATCCGCACAGTTGGCGACGCTGACGCGTGGAGGTGCATGTCACTGTCGGATACAGCAAAGCCTTCCGACGTTCCGACCCAATTGGAGAGAGGAGGCAAAGAAGAGGATAGGCTATTGTAAGGAGGGATCTGTTAGGCTATATGCGCTGACAATGTTGCTCCGCCGTTGAATGCAGCCGTTCCGTCCAACGGCCGCGTGGTTTTCTGTTACTTGATGCGCAGCTGGTGCTACGGAGTACGATTATCAGAATAGACCCCAGAGAGTTGGGCATAAGACCATGTCTCACTGTCAACCAACTTCCCTGCTGCCCAGTGCTATTTTGAATACATGCAGTATCATTCACTCGATCAAATGCAGCGTGCTACCGGGCCTGCAGCGTAAATAGTGGAAGAGTATGTGTTGTGTCTCATGAGACCAAGGTAAACAAAGATTCGGAGACCTCCCACATGGGTCATCTTGGCTCAGGCTCGCACCATCGCCATGATTCCCCTGGAAGAGGCCCAGGAGCTCACAGGCTCTGGCTGGCAAAGTTCTTCCGCTTCGAGCTCTGCCATCCCACCGTCTAGGTCAACCATGTGCGACGTTCGGTGGACGAGATGGATGATCGCGAACGACGGGAGTCCGATGTAGGCAGAAAGAAAGTCCGACGACAACACTGACCACTTCGAAGGGGAAGATGGTAAGAAGGCCGTTCAGTAGACATAGCACAGAGTAAAATACCAGGGAGATCCACGATCCGACAAGCTGCAGCTTTGAACGGGTCTTCAGCAGAGCTCGCACCAACGGCATAGACGGGACACCGCTCGAGGTGCGCTTGGCAAAAGTCCTGGGCGCGGCGCCGTGGAGCGCCGTGGAGTATAGGGACCGGCTGGAGAGGTAGAGGGGCGAGTTGCCCGATGACCAGGCCGCCGTGGCAATGACAGCATTCACGATGTGGTTGAGAACAGGGACTCCAGCGTTGCGAATGCCGACCACCCAAAGCGAGGCGGCTGCATTCGATGCCCCGGAGACGAGGCAAGATGCTGCTCAGAAGGGTCGCGACGGCGGCAACGAGACGGCCAGCATCTCCGCGTTCGGCGAGAGTGTTGACAGGCCCCGGGGTTCTGCCAGTACCGTAATCCGAGCTTGCCATGACTCGGGCTGCCACCCCAGAACAGGATGGAGGATAGCATAAGGAGACAGATGATGGTGATGACCTTGAGGCTTGCGAACCAGGACTCGGACTCGCCGTAGAAATTGACGGGAAGGACACTGAGCCATACCACGGCCACGACCATGATACTGATCCATGCAGCATCGTTCACCGGCAGCTTCCGTCACTCGATGACGAGGGCCGACGTCGTGAGCTCAAGGGGGACGAAAATAGCGAAGGAGTGGAGATAGAGCCAGCCCACCATGGATCCGAGGCTGTCGGAGACGTACCGTCCGCCGTAGCAGCTCACGGTCCCACCTGGAGGCGGGAGGTAAGCCGAGATCTCGGCAAGCGACGCCAGCATCTAAATAGGTCATAACCGACACGAGGACGTAGCTGCCGACGAGGAACGCCGGGCCACCCGTCGCCAGGGTCTTTCCAGATCCTAGAAATGGGCCCGTGGCCGGATCGGGGTTGCCGAGCAAGCACAGTCGGCGGGAGGCTTCCATGTGGAATACATATACGAGAATTCCACGTGGTAGACATCTTGACTTGTTTGCACGCACTGATGGCAAGAGCATCAATCATCACACTAGGTTATATGCAATATGAGAAGCATTCAGGTAAACGGATGGCACGCTAATCGGCTCGATCGAATCGTTCCCGTTCCGAGTTGCCTTGACACAGTACATTGCGGGTCCGGATTCCACAGATCCTGGCCCCGTCGGAGTCTCTTGCCATCTGACGGGACGAGTTGAGATAAGCGCTAGGTAACAATCATACACCACTCCAGCTTCTCAGTCACATGGCTTAGATAGGCCACGAGTGGTTCCATACGATTTCCCTCACAGGATCTGATCTAGAATCTCTACGGCGTATCCGACGATGGGACCAAGGCTCCGCCGATAAACCACTCAAAGCAACACGTATAAAGAAAGACCTGGCCGGTTTCACAGCTGTACACAGAGAACGTGTAGAATATCCATGCCTGCATCGAAAGCCTTTACTCAGAAACATACAAGATGCAAATCATCACCACCAGGGGTCTGGTGTACGCCATCGGCGCCTTCATTTCCGTCGCTGTAGCTGCGGACATGAGTGTCAATCTTGGCCCGGGCTACCCTCACCCGATTGAAGGTAGGCTGCGAGCCCAGCTTTCAACCCCATATCACGCGCAATCTCTCCTTCTCACGCCGTAGTAGACCTCGACAAGGATCTCCCATTCTCGCAGCCCGTCACCTTTGCGCACCTTCCGTGGCAGAGGTGTCTTGCGGCGTCTCACAGCGAGGTTCGTCTCTTGTCTGCTCAGAAACCCATCAGAACCTACCCGGAGTGTTCTGATCAATTCCTACCCGTGAACAGCCGCTGGATGTTGCCATACTGGGATTCCCCTACGATACTTCCACGTCATACCGTCCCGGCGCCCGCTTCGGTCCCCGGGGAATCCGTGCCGGGTCCTCGAGGGAGAAGAAGGGCCGCAGCTACAATACAGTATGGGGCATAGATCCCTATGAGCAAGGGCTTGAGGTTGTGAGTTTCCGACGTCCTCGTCTGTGCGTGCCGTACGCCTCGTCTTAACCTCGAGGCAAGTTCTAGATTGATTGCGGTGACGTCCCAATCACCCCCTTTGATGCCGCCCACGCTTTCAAGCAGATGGAACAGGCCTATCGCCAAATACTGTACCATCCGACGTCTGATAACAGTGAGTGGCCCGACCTTCCAGGATGGACGTCGGCACTCCGTTCTCACATCCTCTATGACATTCATAGACCAATGGGAGCACCCCCGGATCCTCAGCCTCGGGGGGGACCACTCCATCGTCCTGCCTATATTGCGGGGTCTCAAGACGGTCTACGGCCCCATCTCGGTCATCCACCTCGATTCTCACCTTGATACGTGCGTACAGATCCGCCCATTGAACGTTGCCCCCCCCCCCCCTCCTCTGCATGAGACTCACCCCATCCTCGCCTCACAGCTGGGACCCTTACGAAGGATACACTGGGATCGTGTCAAACCAATCCGCCGTGACTCACGGCACATTCTTCTGGCATGCCAGCCGCGAGGGATGTATCAGCAAAGGCACTAGTGTCCACGGCGGCCTGAGAACTAAACTTTTTGTCAGTCTTCTCGTCCCCGGCGTCCCAAATCATGCTGACTAACATCTGCTTCGCAGAGTCCGAAGGACTATGAGATTGATCGTGACGTTGTCGGATTCACGTTGATAGAGGCTCAGGAGATTGATGAGATCGGCATGAGTGGTATCATCGCCAGGGTCAGATCAGCCGTGCGTGACACGCCTGTGTATCTATCCATTGACATTGATGGTAAGTGAAGCACACTGTACATGCGTGTATGCTGGGGGGAAAAATGAAGGCAACCTTCTCACTTCTGACGGCCCTATCAGTCTTGGATCCCAGCATCGCTCCGGCAACGGGTACTCCAGAATCGGGCGGGTGGACTACCAGGGAGCTCAAGCGGTTTATCAAGGGCCTCGAGGGTCTAAATCTTGTCGGCGCAGATGTCGTCGAGGTGAGCCCTCCTTACGACACCGTGGCAGAGACTACCTCCATCGCCGCAGCAGATATACTCGTAGATATTCTCGCCTCCATGGCAAAGAAGGTGTCATTTGTCCAGCCTTCTACTTCAAAGGACGAACTATAGCATTGCTTCACAGGCTTGCCGCTACAACACACATACACGCACACACACACGCACGCACACACACACACACACATATATATATATATATATGTATATATATATATATATATACCACAATAAACACTTTGTGCACATTCGCATTGCTTGTGTTTCCTCTGGTCCTCTCCTTACGCAAAAGTACTCGCTTCGACGGGGACTAGGGTCAGCCGGTATTGATTGGGCATGTTCGTGAATGATCCTCAAATAGGTCGATTTCAACTTTGCTGTTATTCATGTACGAGTCGATGTATCCAGCGTCGCTCAACTTCCCCGTGGCCTTGGTCAGGCATGCATGGTCGTGGGGGAGAACTGCTTCGTCCAGGCCGAGGCTGGCAAAGATCGTCCTGCAACGCGACATAGCAGAGAACATTGCGATGATAAGTTTTGCGGGAGAAAAAGCGAGGCCTGACGAAGACGGGATGCCGATGCTCTTATTCGAACGGTTAGGCAAAGTTTGGTTCGGTGCATCTGAAGAGCAGCGATCCCCATGACCCGGATACTACGCTCGATAGCTGCCGCCGTGCGCCATCATATGCAATGTCTTGCTTGACCTGCCCATGATAAGGCTTGACCTGCTCATAAGGCTCCAAGATGTTCGACCACCGAATGGTCATCGTATGCATAGAGGTTGGATGGTTGCATAGGTATGTCTGCCACGTATCTATCCGTCTTCTCTCGTGATGGTCTTGATACATACCGTTATCATGAACGTACACTGCATTCGAAATCTCCTCACATCTGACTAGAGCCCCTCTTCGAGTTTACTCGTACAATGGTCAAGATGCGTCGTGAGACCAAGACGGGCATCATTACCTGGCAGGCGTAGCACCTCTAGTATCACGTCCTCATACCCGTAGAGGGCACGATATTCTCATGTATGCTATACACACACTGTTACCTCCTATCTCAATCCCACCATGACGTGATAGTGATGAATGCGTAGGACGAGCTAGAGCTCAGGCCACCTTGGCCAAGAAAAAAGGCTTGGACAATTGCTGATTTTCATTGTAATTGCACCAGGGGGGCCGCATGAAACACCCATACATTGTGTGCTGCTGGCACCTGGGCAATAACACTAGAACCACGGGTTCTCCTGGTATTCATGCCGGCTGTGAACCTGGTTCGCTAGATTCTATAAAGACCAGTTCTCCGTCGAAGGGTCTTGTTCTGCATCAGCATTGGTCATCTTGAGCCGATCTCGGGGCACAGTTGGGTAGCATAACCCCCATTCCCGTCATCGCCACAGCGCATAGAGATGCACACATTAAATGCAGGTTATGGAGAGCCAAATCACAAGCAGACCGGTGCATGACTCCGTTCTTGTTGACATGATAGACTTGATCTGATCGACTGGGCCGGCATTTACAGACTCGGAATAGAGCAAATGATCATGTACTGCTCGTAAACCAGACCGGTCCGACACAACGAAAGCTTTGGTTATAGTTACGACATGCTCCTCAGCGCTATTGTTTATTGCTTTGTAGGGATCGCGTCGTTTATTTTGCCTCGCATCTCCATCTCCATCCAATCCAGGGCAAGACTCATCGCCGTGACGTTCATCGCCAAGTATCGATGCAGTGCTTCGTTCTCATTCTTGTTTTTTTTTTTTTTGACGGGATTGACAGGACGAGTGCTACGGCCTGGTCGCAGGATACACGTACTCTCATAGATAGAAAGTAATACAACCTACAACCTGAGCCTGACGCATTGACATCGAAGACCAGGTTGCCAGGGTATGGGGCTGGGACTGGGGCTGTGGCGGTCTTGGTCGACCGGCCAATTCGTACGGGTGCGGACAGGTAAGAGTGCGATACGTCAGTTTATGCGGCGGGATTGCGAAGAAGCTTCTTCTTCCTCATCGCGATTGCCCCCTGATAGATTCTGACAGGCGACTCGACATCAATGCTAGTGATATGATGATGAATATGTTCTTGAGGTGGTGGCGCAGGAACTCGAGGTCCCGGGATGTGGGCAGATGCCATAATCTCGGCACCGAAGAGGCACGGCACATGCGGAGAGTAATTAGGAGACACCGGCACATGAGAAAGCCACGCGCACGTGGCCACCATTACAAGCTGCTCTGGAGACATCAGATACCGGTATTGCCCAGTGCAGCTTTGCAGGCCATGATCCAGAAGACCAGGTCCGGAAAGAAGAAGAAGGAGGTGATGATGACGACGATAGCTGTACGCCTACGACGTCGAGGGCGCACCTTGTAATATTTTAATTGATCTTCATATGAGTGATCTCCGTTCCATACCGGACAGGATATTTCGATTGAAGAACGGAGCATGATTAGCATGTGGTGTATAAAGTCGGGTACTATCAACAAGCTACATGCTAATCCGCACTCGAGTTGCCAGACCAAGAAGAGGAAACGAAGAGGGAAAACTTTTCCGGGTACCAGTACAGGTTACAGGGATGAGGATGAGAATGAATGGAAGAACTTCATTAAAGTAATATCCTAAAGCTCGGCTTAGATTTTCGCCCCAGTCTTATGAATGCATTCTGGAGTACATTAATTAACGTTGTTTTATTACACAAAGCTATGCATCAAGACTACGAGTATCCATGCATGGGGGGGGAGCGGGGGGAGGGGATATCCTTCAAGCTCTACAGAGTATTATCACTTATCACTCGTAAGATAAAAAGAGCCGGTTAGTGACACTAGGCGCCGGAATGTACGGAAGAAGAGCATAGGTGGACTCCGTAGACGGCTGACGCTACGACAGATATTACTTTATATATAGAAAGGGTAGCATCGCGCGTAGTCTTGAACATACATGCATGATCGCCACGCGGTACAATTGCCAGGCTGAGGAATTCGAATTCGATGTCCATCTCTTCCGCCTGTCGGGAGACTGATAGAGAAGATGCATCTTCCGTCGGCACATGACGAGGACGCACATGCATATGCGCACCAGGAGAAAGGGTGAGCAGGAGACTGCGATTGAAGAACAAACACAAGCAGCACACTCACGCGGATAATGCAATCACTAGTACATCGTCATAAGAAAGAGAAAGTTTGTGTGCGTGTGTGTGTGCTGGTCCCTGGCGGTCAACACCCAAGAAGCGAATCCCCCTTCAGCCTCCTTTTCTCCCCCCCC